GGTTGGGGTCAGGACCCACTTGACCCCCCCTCCCACCTCTAAATCCGCCACTGATCTACATGTGTACATGAACCTAGGTAGATAAAAATGACAAATACAAATACAAATACAATTATACATGTACAAGAACATGCTATTAACTAATTATATAATATGACTACTCCTTAATTAATAAACATGTTTTACTTAAACCGTAGTTACAACTACTGCTACTCAATATTGCCGGCAGCCGATTTTTGATAAGCAGGGTAAATATCAACCCCAAGGAGTTCCAGCTCCTTGCTAACTCACTGTCATAAGGTGAGCCTCGTTATGGTCCTCTTGCCCTAATCGCACTTTTTACGTTTAGGCCACCGGTATTTCTAACATGGAAAAAGACGCTCTCCAGCATGATTCCCGCCGATCCCCAGTGGTCTGCACCCACGGCTGCGTAGTGTGCGCCCAGCCCTTAGCAGGGCAGATCGGCATAGGTATAACTATACTTTTACAATTCGGTTTTTATGCGATAAGATTCACGTGGACCGTGGTCAATGTCAAAGTAGTTTTAAAAAGTAACTATTTTGTTTATATGCATGTGGAAATAGTAAGATTGAAAATGGACAATTATTCAATCAAATAAATTATAACTGTAGATGATACTATCGTAAGTTATGATACATTGAATTCTTTATCTCCTAACAATATCATCTCACATCCAGTAGCTCTAAAGGGGGTGGTACACTGTACCTCTCTACTTGTACTTGTTAACCACTTAAGGTTCATAGAGCACCACTGGTTACTTATCTCACCCGGCATATGCTCTCTATAACAGATAAGTAACTGTATAGTATATTAAAATAAACTCCAGTTGTTGACTTTGAAACTCTGGATGCTCTCGAAAGCTTTAAATCCTTAATTATTGTTATTTTTTTGCAAAATTGCTTAGTGGAATTATACATTTAACATTTTTTGTTCTATCCTGGATTCCCCACCCCCCTCCCTATTTTAGGCCTCTAGTAGGTTAAAAATCCTAGATCTGCTCCTGAAGACAGCTGTCTTTGATGTTGCAGACGTCCTAAAGGCTGGGGGAAATGCAGCAGATGCAGCCGTAGCAGTGGCTGCAGCAATGAATGTGACGCAACCAACTTCTACAGGGATTGGAGGAGATGCATTTTGTCTGTATTATGATGCACAGACTAAAAAAGTTCTTGGATTGAATGGAAGGTATTGATACTAACTTGTCACTTTGAAGGTTACACTATATGCTATAATTAATGAATGGTGGATTTTGTTTTAAGCTTACCTATCATGATGAAATTAATTGTGATTGAAAGCTTTCTGTAATTCTTTTTTAATTACGTGTAGTATCGGTGATCAATACATGATTGTACAAGTTATTGCATTTTAAACATTTTAGTTTTGGTATATATTGAATGTATTCAAGCTTCTGTATATAAGTATTGCCTATTCCTGTAGAGAAAATTTGATACAAATTCATATTCTTACAAATACAATTATTTCTTATATTTTAGTGGTCGATCTCCGAGCACTTTAACTGCAGAACATATTCAACAAGAAGGTTTTAATGAAGACAATCCCATCCCTGTAAACCATGGACATAGTGTCACAGTGCCTGGTGCTGCTGCAGCCTGGGTGGACACTGTGGAAAGATTTGGGAGTAAAAAAGTAGGTCATTACCCTTATAATACACTTTATATCTTCAGGAGAGTTCTTCTTCTTCTCCATTTACTTTTATGATGGCTGGCATCTTGAGCACCAACAAAGATTTTCCACTTCTCTGTCATGAGCTAGGAGTTGAATGGTTCCCCTGCTTTCTCCCAGTTGTTTCAGCTCTGCCTCCACAGTCCTATGAGTATGACAGATTTAGTTCAGAGACATTGCATGCACTGTACCGTAACCTTGGTTTGAGGATTTAACAAGAAGAAGGAAAAAGTATGTGCTATATGTTTAGCAGAAAAGTATATCTACATCTATTCCTTTTCACTTTCAGCTTTCCATGGAGCAAATTCTTACCCCTGCCATTGACATGGCAGAAAATGGATTTCCAGTGAGCCAGGTAGCTGCTGTCATGTGGGATGCAGGTATTCTTAGATTTAATGTTTTCTGCTAATCCCTAGTTTCCCTCTAATTACTGACAACTTAATTATGTCAACTGGTACAAGATGTATGTGACGAGGGATAAACTGAATTTAATTTCTATACAATCTTTTACACTAAAATTTTTACATATTCTGTATTCTGTGCATGCCAGGATACATTCTCCATTACCATTGTAATAGGTTCACATCATACTCTGAAAGTCAGGGTAATGTGACAAATCAGAGTATTAAAAGACAAGGAGTTATTTTAGACATATTTGCCAAATATGAATGCAGTTTGTAGCATAGACATGTCCTTTTATTTATTATTTAGCTGCACTTGATAAATGCATCTTTGATGGCAAAATTATTGTACATTGTTTATAACATCTTATGAATTCATCATTTATAGGTTCTCACCTGTTCCGTGTGGGTAAAAACACTGATGGGAAAGATTTTCTAATCAATGGACGTGCACCCAAGTGGGGAGAAATCATGAAGTTGCCAGCACTTGCCAAAACTTTCAAGGCATGTCCAGTAAAATTTCACAACAAAGGTCAAAAAAAAAAAAAAAAATTGAGCAAAACCAACTGGCAGAAAGTGTACTTTAAATGTTTTTCATTTTTAATGTGTATTATAGTTTCATTATGGATACTGTATATGTATGATGTATGGAAAACAGTATTTGAACTTCACAATGGCAACCGTTTGGGAGGATAGGAAGGAAGTCTCAAAGTTCAAATACTATTTTCTTTTGGCATACTTTCCATGAAAATTTGGTATGATTTCATTGAGTACTACTATTTATATAGATCTAGGCTCTGTCTAGAACAAAGTACGAAATTTGAGTCAGTGATATTGATATTCATGTCATGATGTTGGGGGGAGGGGTTATGAATTCAAAAGACTACATAGCACCTTTTAATTCCAACATACCATATCTTCCACAGTATATTTCACATTGAAGGACAAGGGGATAAAACATTAGTTAAAGGGACCATTCCTATAATCCTATCGTTCTAGCTGGATCAATCTAACTCCTCAGGAGATTCTTGCTAAATTGCATTTAATATAACCAGCTTTAATGTCTGGCACGCCCCCTCACAACTTCTTGGATAAAGTTGGGGAAAACTTTGTGGTCCACCATATTGTTCATGTTGCTTTGCGAGGGGGGTATGCCAGACAATTAAGCTGAATAAAGCTTAAAGTTAAAACTGAACTGAATTACTGTGGATAGGTTTGAGAAAATAGAACTGAAAGTGAGAGATGTATTTTTATCCAAGCCATACATAGCAGTTTTTACAGGAAATTGTTTGTCGAACTTANTTCAGCAGGGCAAACGGAGACGCGATTTAATTACTGTACCCGGCAGGGAGGACGTGTGGGGAGGCGGAGAGACTATTAAAAGATTAGGCGGTTTGCTTTCATGTACGTCCGCCATTTTTAGGTCACCGGCTTTGTAAAGCCTGGCTCAATTCGTTGAGAATCCGCTCTTAGGCTGAACTATCTTCCTCTTTCCTTAAATATTATTTGATTTATTTAGGAGCTTGTTGCTAAGGGAAAAGAAGGATTCTACAAGGGCAGAATAGCTGAAGCCATTGTAGATGTTGTTCAGAAATTTGGAGGTCTTATGTCTTTGGAAGATCTGGCTAGTCATGAGACAACATTTGATGAACCCATATATGTAGACTATAAGGGAGTGAGAGCCTGGCAAATGCCTCCCAATGGACAAGGAATTACTGCACTGATGGCACTAAACATTTTGGAAGAGTTTGACTTAAAAAGTAAGCCGTAAGCAGATAGCTTAGTTTTGTTTGTTATTGTTCTTGTTGAAACATTAGCTACGTATTTGTAAAAGCAGCTCACACGTTTGTCAATAGTTCTCTCTCTCCCGCTTTACGTCTCTCTCTCTCTCTCTCTCTTAAACGCACACAAAACAGACATGCATGTACAAACAGTTTCTTTTTCCTAAGGTAGCGGTTATAAGACAAGAATTAAAAATTTCTGACAAAGCCATTGCATCCAGCTTCCTAATGTTGACTGTCATCTCTCTTTTCTCTTGCTTTCTGATAACACTTTCCATTTCTTTAGGCATGGGTCATAACACAGCACCATACTTACACACACTGATTGAGGCACTGCGTCTTTCTTTTGCTGACAGCTTAAGCTACAATGCAGATCCCAGTTGTGTCCATGTGCCAGTTAAGGGGATGTTAGCCAAAGACTATGCTGCCAAAAGAAGAAATCTTATGTGCAAGGATAAGTAAGAAAAGCTTTTTGACTTCATTTGTTATGTTCCACTTGTAAGTATAAAACATTTTCTATATAAATAAGTATATAAATACACTTTCAGGGTGATGCCAGAGTGCCTCAGAGGGTCTCCTGAGATGTGCAGTGACACAGTGTACTTCTCAGTGGTTGACAGCCAAGGCAATGCTTGCTCTTTCATCAACAGTAATTATCAAGGCTTTGGCACAGGACTAGTTCCAGAAGGCTGTGGTTTCACATTGCATGTAAGTTTATGTATGATGCATATTTGTATGCCCTATCCTCATAGAAATAAATATATATAGATTGATAAATATAATCTTAAAAAATACAAGTGAAATTGGTCATCCCCTCAACATTCTGCAGACTCCTGCAGTTCTATTTATTTCAATCACCAGGTACATTTCTATGTTTATTCGATAACTATAGACTTTTCCTTGACCACATTTGACTATTTCATTGTCATGTAAAGTATGAGTGGAATAATTATGACTGGAAAATGCACATACATTTTAAATGGTTTAAGTACTTCCCAGAACTTAAGTGCATTAAAAAAGGACTGTAATTGCTCATTACAAAATTTGCCTAAATGGAATTATTTTATTTCCTATTTGGTTTAAGTAGTATCATGATACATTCATAGAAAGGATTAATTCTAAATTCTAAAATGCAAATAATGTTCATCCAAGAATGTTGATATTTACTTGTTAAACTGAAAATGAAAAATGTTTAAAAAATGACATATTGGTGTTAAGTGAAAGGTCTGTGTATTTAATTAAGACCAAAATCCACTTCTTTATGCCCAATATTCAGAACAGAGGACTAAACTTTTCCTATGAGCCCTCTCACCCCAATGTGATTGGTCCTAGCAAGAGACCTTACCACACCATTATCCCTGCTATTGTTACCTCTCCAGATACAGGTAAGAATTGGATTTACCAGTTGATTTTTCAGTAGTCACTACAAAAGTTAAATTTGCCCATTTATTTTAATGTATCTATGTAGGATTCATGGTAGTTAAAGTAAATGGTAGGAGTTGATCCATGAATGTTTGATTTTGTCTCAATATTTAACAGGCTTCATGTTTTGTGGGCTATGCATAGCACATGGTTGGGCTCATGCAGTAACAGTTCTTATTTTCTTCTAGAACTTCCATTGCCTATATCTTACAACTACATTTCCCAGTAAGTCTTTTATGTGAGTCTCTGATATATTTCAGGTGAGCTTTTGATGAACTATGGAGTAATGGGCAGATTTATGCAGCCACAGGGTCAGGTCCAGGTACTCCTTAACATGCTGGAGTTTGGTATGAATCCCCAGGAAGCACTGAACAAACCCAGGTTCTGCATAGATCCTTTGACAAAAGGGTAAGGCACCATTCTTTATTCTCCTTATTACCCACAATGTACCAGTCTTTGTTGTACTGTCAAAATGCCGTAATATTATTTCTTATATGTTAATTTTTGTACTTTTTCTTGATATGTGTATAAATTGCTTAAAAGCCGTTTTGGAGAGCAACCAATATTGATAAAACTACAATTACGTTTTCTTCATGGTTACACATATATTCCATACATTTGCTTAGCACTGGCATATTTTGTTAACCATGTCATCAATTTATCTTTTATTTATAGTGCTGTGAGTCCAGTTTCATTTGAAGATGGTGTTCCAGATCCTGTGCTTCAGCAGCTTAAGGCTATGGGGCACGAAATTAAAGGTCCTGTCTATGGCTATGACCGTTTTCTCTTTGGTCGAGGTCATGTGATCACCAGAGGAGCTTGGTGGGCAGATGACAAGTCAGGTGACATAGCAGACGACAGCAGCGTTTTGTGGGCAGGGACTGATCCAAGGGCAGATGGAATCCCAATAGGGTTTTAATGAAAATTCATTTTAGGATTAGAAGCCGTTAGAGACAATAAATTTTAATGCTTTAATTTGATATTTATAAATTTTGTAATTTTAACTGCCACTTTATTATTCATACTTATATTTAGTAGGCAAGTACTAATTCTTTTACATTTTTTAATGACAATGCAAATAATTTTTACATCTGAATGTGATAAAACATTTTTGTGATCTTTTATTTTAAATCCACAAAGTATCATTTTTTGAATTAGCTTAATGTCATTACACCCAATACATTTGTAAATGATAATTTATTACCTGGTTACCAAATTGGTATATCTTAGATTTCCCCTTCATGAAATCAATGAAATAGGGGCCATTTTCAAACTTAAGCTGGCATTAAAGAAAAAAATCTGGTAGTGATGGTAAAAAATGGTACGACTTATACAATTTGCAAATGACATCACCCTGGTTTATCAATCATTTCATATAAGGTACTGCATATATCAGTTTTCAGTAATTTTTATTCAGATTTTACAAAGCAAATGGTCTCTTGTAAATGTTTCCTTGAATTTCATGCAAGTTTTTCATGAGTTTAAGAGACATTTTAATAGTATTTTCTTATTCCCCTGTAAGCACGATTTCAAACATCAAGAAGCATTTTTAATTTTTCTACATAATCCTTCATGGTATATTTAAACGTGCTACCCAGTTAGGGCATATTTAAAGATTGCTGAAGAGGGATCATTGTAATGGACAATTTTGCAGCATTTAAATATATCCAGACCTCAAAGTTTGTATCTCATTTAGATCCCTTAACAGATATGTCTGGAGTTAAGAGAAGTACAAAAAATAAATAATAGGAAAAATCAAATACATACAAACATGTACAAGCTTGTAGTTTTTTCATTTCTTCAAACCATCTATTTCTCCTGGTGTGACTATGACATTTTAAAGTCCATATTGAAAAACACTAATTAATAGTCAAACTTCAACTTTCTTAATGTCATGAATTCTTTAATCTGTTCATCTGTGATTTTCTGTCGTCTCTCTTTATGAGCCCTGACAAGAGGCTGCAACAATTCTATCAATTCTTTCTTCAAGTATCCAGTCAACAGTTCTCCGCTGGTATAGTCCTAGAATGTAAGAGATAAGTTAACACAACTTTAAAAACTCCCAGAAATCAAGTGAACTGAACCTGATTAAACTGACAGATGTAAATTCACATTTCATTCAAAAAATACTTCAGAATCTGTCAAAATCCTTAAAGGTATAAATGTGGACAGCTTCTGTATTATATAAAAAACTTAAAAAGTACTGCAACTAGACTAGGCAAGTGGTTAAAGAGGTAATAGTGTTTTCATAATCAGTTTCAAGAACTGTGCATCATGCACTACAACAGTAGTGTGCTCCAAACAGTAATAACATTTAATACATAAAAAGCAGCTTTTAAAAAGAAACATCTATGGGAACAACAAATTAATAAATAAAACAACCCTACTGTATGTTACCTGTCTTATTTTTGTCAAGTCTTTCATCATCTTCCAAGAAGAACCTGAGGTACTGGTAGGATATATCCACATCACAGTCTCCTCCATTGGCTTTGTGCTCCTCTATTGTGGCCCCACCACCTGAGAAAGCATATTTGTTGATCTGGAATGCACAATACATAATGAAAAACAAAATCATAATAGAAACAGAACTTGTCATGTTCATGTTTCAACATAGAAATAAGAAGAGATGTATAATCATTTTGTGTACAATTGATATGAAACAAATACCAATCTGTCTGAACCAAAACTGTGAATAAAATTTCAAATTTGTAATTGGGAAGATGTTTAAATAATCTCCAGAGGCAGAAAATCAATGTTTTAATCCATGAATCAGAGCCAATAACTTATTTAAGCTTCTTATTTAACAGGGGCTCATTTCTAAATAAAAATTACACCTAGCAACATCTCATATGAACTGGTGTAAGTTTCTGACTAGCTCTTAAACTCACTTTGGTCTTAATTTGCTTGTCAGTGTCCGTAAGAAATATTGATGAATTTGGATCGCTAGCACTCATTTTTGTCTGAGCCCCTTGTAAAGCTGGAAAGAAGGAAGAATGCAGCAGAGCTGGTTTGGGGAGTCCTAGTCTTGGTGCCACATCTCGGGTCATTCTGAAGTAAGGATCCTACAGAGAAATAGACTAAAGAACTACATTTTTATACAATATAAAAGTCACAGGCAGAAAGTTCACATTGTGTGTTTCCTACTGAATTTTTTAGACCTTTTTCCATTAATTTATTTGATTTATAACAAATATTAAATCAACAGTTTTATTTCTTTGCCAGAATGAAATAAATCGAGTATCAATATTAGAAAATATTTTGATCACAATAAATAGGTTTTAATTTCACTTACCTGGTCTATAGCACATGGAATCAAACAGTGAACATCTTTTTTCCCATTAAATATGAATGGAAATGATGAACTGAATGATGGTGCTGCTTGAATGGCTGGGAAACTAATTTTGCCAATGATAGTACTGTCATCAAAACCAAATATTCCTTTCACTTGATTGAATGTCACACACCTCTGTATCCTTACCATGTTTTGGTAAAAAGCTGGGCACTGACTGGAATAACAAATAATTACACATGATTCAAATGCACCTCATTATCAAACCTTGAAATCAAACATCTGATATACGATTCACCTCACAGCCACATGCATTTTTTTTGGGCCTGACATCTTCATAGGTAAAAATAAAACCCAAGTTTCCAAATTCATGTTATTTTCCTAAACTAAAGGAAAAATGTCATAAAATCTTGGTTTGCAAAAAAGAAAAAAAAAAATTACCCGATAAAGTCCAGATCACTAAATATGAAAGTCTTTGTCACATCAAAACCACAAGCAATGATATCCTTCACATTTTCATAAGCAAGTCTTTGAGCTTCTTCTAGTTTCATATCTTTCCAGAAGAATTTTTCATCATCTGTGAGCTGTATGACCAGAGGCACATCAAAAACTTCCTGTAACCACCTAAAAACATAAAACATTGTAGTTTTATGAGGCACGTTATTTGTTTTTTATCATTGGCACGATTTGTCTCTAATTATCATTTTTTAAAATCAAAAATTAAGTATTCATAAAAGAGAATGAATACGTGTATCTAGATAAGATGGCATTTAAAATATCTAAGTTAACATTAGAAACATAACAGCTGAACGTGTGTGTGTGTGTGTGTGTGTGTGTGTGTGTGTGTGTGCATGAGCGAGAGATAGAGAAAGATAAAGAGAGAATTTACTTTGTAAAAATGAATGGAATAAGATGCCCTAAATGCATAGCCTCTGATGATGGACCTCTACCAGTATACAGGAAGAATGGCTTTCCCTGCTCATATAGATTTAGCACCTGGTGGACATCCCTGTAAGCATGAATGAATGAACTCATTACCGAGTAATAACAGCCATCATAATGGTTAAACAACTGATGAAAATGTAACTGTTACACAGAAAAACATACTAGTTGCAACATGCTTGTAACTCAAGGTTTGGCAAATGTTATCAATTGATAATTGTCATAATGCCACTATTCTAATTATCCTAAAACTGTGGCTTAAAATTTCCTTATCAGATTCTGATTGAGAAATGGAAATCCCTAAAGAGGATCACTCTTTATTTCCTGCTGCAGATATTAACCTTAATTAGCATGAAATTCATTCGCTAGCTTTCCTATTGACGATTCTGATATACATTGGCTGTGCTAGCTTACAGTGTAGATATCAAAATTGTTAATAGAAGTGTTAATGTATGAATTCTGTGCTTATACTAACCTGTGGGAGAAAAATATGCCTCTCTTCAGAAAATGATGTGCTGGCTTTCCTGTGATCTTCTCAAATCTTTCAATCAGGACATCATCAATCTTTGAGCTACCAAACTTCTCTGGATATGAAGAATACATTAAAGATTTGTTATAAACCACAACCAAACCATACTGATTGTAAGAAACGCTGCAAAAACAAAAATGATTAAATAGGCATTAAAGCTTTAGCAACTCCGTATCCACAGTGAATCTGTTTAACAATTTTAAGTAGTAGGGAATTCGAATTAACATACTTATCAATTTATCGTAATCTATCCCTTTGGCAGAAGAACTGGTTACGTTCCATGGATCAACAAAATCCTCTGACTCCTCTACTTTAACGTCCAAAGTTCCATCGCCAACCGATAAATTTGCCATGCCGTTTGCAGCTTTTTCTCTATCACTATCAGCCATTGATCTACCACACGTTCAGTAGGTCTTATAATATATTCAAGTGCTTTGGATTTCTTCTTCTCCAGAAAATTGTATCTTCAGCATCAATCAAAAGATCAAATAGTCAATATCAAGTTGAGCAAGTTATCTATGAAGTGTTTGGCAGTTCTCATTCAATGTTTATAACACATTTATAGCAAATCTGTTCGAGTGTTGAACCACACTTTCGTCAGCAGGAAGTGACACATGAACTTACCGGAAGCGGAAGCAGCACGTGGAGAGACGGCTCATGTAAACAACAGCAACTAGTCAGACTGCAAAATGTCTTCGCTGTATCTTATCGGACAGAGCTATAGGGCTATTAAGACATCAGCGGAAAATACAAAATTTTTACCTGTTTGATTGCAAATATGGATCACATAACGGAGTACGGCAGTTCAGATGAAGAGGCTCACTCTGCTGAACTTCAGCTGCAAGGTGATGGACGTGTAGTTCAACATTTTCAGTCAGAGGCAGTGCAACTGCAGAGTCAAATGGACGTTAGCAAACCAAGTTTGAAAGATATCAGTACTATGGAGAGTCTGGACAGACATACAGCCGACTTCATTACTCCATACAGTAGCAATACCGCCCAGCGATCCGATATTATAACCTCTACCAATAAAGACAAGACAGAAGAACAATTAAAAAACCAAACACCTAATTCTAAATATTTTACTTTAGAGGAAAGTGACAGTAGTGACTCTGACAATGACAATGTAGCCCATGGTAATTCAGGTACAATTGGGTCAGTTGGTATGCCAGGTCAGTATGAGCTGCTTGATAAGAATGACCTGCCCCAGTCACCGTTTTGGAGAGGCAAAAGTTCTAATTTGCCAGTTGTTGAGCAATCTTCTCCGTGTGTTCCTGAAAATATAGAAACAACATGTTTTCCAAACAAGCAAAGGGAATTGAATAAACAAGGTAATGTTAGCATATGGAGTTCCAAATCTCACAAAAGGTCTCTAGATATTGAGACTCTAGTTTGTGATAAAAAGGTCATGAAGTTAAAGGAAGCACCAAAACCATCTACATTTAATGATGCATTTTCCCAAGATAAATATACAGACAAGGTATATTATGTGCATCATAAAATTGCACCTTATTTGAATAGTAAAAGAGACTGTCACATTCCACGTCAAAGAATAAAGTTACTCCAGGGACACACTGGGGGAGTCAACAGGATCAAATGGTGTGGTGAACAATATAGCCACTTACTTCTCTCTTCATCTATGGATAGAACTGTGAAGATATGGAATGCATTTTCTCAGGAGTCCAGTAGTGTGAGGACACTGCATGGGCATTCTAAAGCTGTAAAAGATGCAGTTTGGCATAACTCAGGATACCAAGTCATCAGCTGTGGATATGATAGGTGTGCTAAAGTTTGGGATGTGGAAAAAGGTACTAGTACTACAGTACATGGAGTAAATGGTAACAAAAAAATCTAATTTACATGTACTAAAAGTTGATTGTTATAATAATTCACATTTTTGAATGAATTTGCTAAGTAGTGACAATTGTTATGATTGCTTTGTTGATCAAAATTCTACCTAATACATACGTATTCATTTAATGCGTAATGTGATGAATTATGCTATGAAAAAGAGCTTCTTATTCTACATTAATATTTAGACTTTTTAGTGAACTGTTGTACATGTCCTAGTATAAATTTACATAAGAGGATCTTTAAATTATTTCAGGGATAGAACTGAATACTTTTGAACATCCAGATTTTGTTCTGTGTATAAAATATCACCCCATAGACTCAAACCAGTTTGTCACTGGATCAGCTAATGCTCTTTATTGTTGGGATGTTAGGAGTGGCACAGCACCAATCAGGAAATACACCTACACAGGGGGTTTTGGTCTGGTAAGTGTTTGCCAATAGTGCAATAACACAATTATGTTCATAAGCAACCAAGGGCCCATGAATAATAGTGCCCTTCCACCACCTCCCCTGCAGCTGTCTAAAAATTGTCCTATAAACAAGATGAGGAAAGTGAGGCAAAATGTTATGGTGCACCTGTAAAATTATTTTGTTAAAGGTTAGGAACAATAATAATTGGTTTCATAGCTCTTGTTAGAAAATTACTTTAATATCTATTTGCATGTTATGCATGTGTATGTATGTTCTTTTTTTTATTGAAGAATTTAGAATGCCTGTTAAATGTTTTCAGATATTATTCAATTTATTGATAAAATTGTGAAGAAAAATGGGGGAAATATTTGCCTTTTTGCTGAGTACCTCAATTTTGTTGCTTTTCAGGTTCAGGACCTAGAGTTCATGCCAGATGGGAGTCAGTTCTTTACTTGTAATGATCTTGTTAGCAGGGATTCTTGTGACAGGAATGTCATGGCTTGGGATTTTAAAAAGGGTGTGGTTTTGTCAAACCAGATTTACCAGGTAAATTATAAGTGCAAAGATTTATTCTAAGAAACCGTCCTTTTTAAATGTTTGTTTTTGACTTAACTCATTGTTTACTGATAATGAGAGGAATGTTAATTGAATGATATGTATTGATGGATATATATATATATTTTTTTTTTCTTGTTTTAAGAAATGAAGAATTTCGAAATTAGTTTTTAAAATTGTTATTGTGATTAAAATTTAAATGAATTAACAGAGATGGGTTCTTGGATTTTGATAGAAAACAGTATGTTTTATTTGATTTAGATAAATACAAATATACACATCTCTGGAGATGATTTACTTATTTCAGGAACGTTACACCTGCACTAGACTGAAAGTTCATCCCTCAGGTAGTAATTTTGTTGCCCAAACTCAGGGAAATTATTTGGCATTATTTTCAACCTTGAGACCATACAAACTGGACCGTTCTAAACGATTTGAAGGGCATAAGGTAAATGAATGTCTATTTACTGGCAAGATTTTTCTGCTTGTTAAGTTTTACATTGTACATACAGCTGTTACATATGTAAAGCTTATATTGGTAATCATGATTGTGTTTTGATATTTTCAAAGAATAATCAGTCCTCATGTGTCCCAATTTTGCCTTTTGTTTTTGAATAGTGACAATTATTTTTGATTCCCTTTGTGACAAGCACTTGTTCTATCAATTTCATTGACATATAAGATTTCACTCAAATGATTTGTTCATTAAAAATATATTTTTTCATTATTTCTAGGTGGAGGGATATCCCATAGGATGTGACTTCACTAAAGATGGCTCCCTTCTTGTTAGTGGCAGTTCATCAAGAAACATTTACTTTTACAGTTATATAACTTCTAAGCTAATCAGATCAATAGACATCGGAGCTGATGTTTGTATTGACGTTGCTTGCCACCCAGTTTTGTTCAGCACCATTGCTGTTGCAAGTTTTGGAGGAGTGATAAATGTTTGGCAGTGATGCATTCAAATGTTCATTTATGGACAGTATGCACATTTTTGCAGGTTTTATATGGCTTATATGTAGATACCAGTATACCTTGGGTAGTCTAAACCACTGAAGGATCAGTTGTGAAATAAGAAAAAGTCATCAACAGAGCAATGCTTATAATGGTTAATTGAGAAAGAGGTTTCAAATGCTCCAAATAAAATCCAAAAAAAGTCTTGAAAAAGTACTAAAACTGCTATCTAACATTAAACCATAGCTTTCATCAACCATTTGGATGTGTCTCACTTACTTGCAATATATACGGCCTGTTAATTCACTTTGGTTTCAAAAATTGAAAAAATTATTTCAAATTTGTTAAATGGATAATGTGTCTTCAACATCTTTATATGCCTGGCATTTTTGCTATGGTCATTACCTGGTTATTTTTACAATGTTGGTATATATATATATATATATAGTACAGGTAATTCAGTTGTGACCAAGTCTGTCCGAGTGAACAGACGAAATTTTAACGCAATATACAAGAAGATTGGTTTTGGCTTAACGGATGTTGTAAAAAGCTGAAAGATATTAATTATATAAGTAACGTACATGTATCGCAGGATGTAAACTCAGTATGAGAACGGACAACAAACATGTTACTTGGCAATTTCTGGGTTTAGTTAATTTTTTATTCTTTTCATAGGCTAATGATGCGGAGACAAACTTTTGTTAGGTGTTCTGTGTTGTTTATAATCTTTTTTTTAGGAAAAGGCCCTCTACGGATTTCTTCATGCCTTCCATTTCTCCAGATCGATGGCGTTCATAAACTTTGTTGTCTCTCTGGAGGCCTACTTTAGAACTTTATTAACTTATTCTGGCATACCATCAGGATCGAGCTGATTCTTTTTCCTTTTTCATTTAATTTAGTGCATGCATGTTCAACCAAGGAGTTATAACAGTTATAACTCCTTGGTTCAACTTATGTGAGAATTGTTGGTCCTCCCGTGGTGTTCTCACTGTGATAGGTGTACAAGCGATAAACTCTCTACTTCTATGACTCGATGTGTCGGCTTCTGTAGCACAATTGAATGAATACGAAAACATAACTTACATTCATTGTGTGGCTCTGTAAAAATTCAGACACAAGCGCCACCTTTATTACCTTTTGCGCGTATTAATACCATGGATGTCATGAAAATTTTATACTTAATAAATGTCACTTTACGACATTCGTAATACGTATTGAGTATAAGTTTAAACACATCACTCAAGTGCACGTGCTCAGAGTAAAAATTGTAATAAAAAAATAATGTTTGAATATATAATTATCTCTCAAATGATTTATTTTTGTTCGCGCGTTTAATTGATCCTCGTAAGTTAGAAGGCTGTGTACCATCTGTTATTGACTGTGATGACTGAAGATGATACGTGCTGATTAACTGAATTTAGAAAAATGGTACAGAAGTACCAATCGCCCGTTCGGGTGTATAAATACCCGTTCGAATTGGTGATGGCGGTAAGTATTGTCCCGTAATATTTATTACCATGATATCGATTAAAGCCCTGGAGTCGCAAGTTGTTAAATATCTTGATTGATTCATTTAGACCAAGTTCCGTAAATCTTGTTTTAACCCGACGATGAGCCTAGTGATTGCCCTTCATTAGATATATGTTATATGAGCCTTTAATTGGGGGAATTAACAGTGTATTTTTCTTGTATTAAAATTGAATTCACTTACTGAGTTATTGAGAATGAAAGATAGCAGAGAAGTTCGAGGTTACGATAACGAAAATGAAATCTGTACTTTTTCACTTTTTATCCGCTGTAATTTTAATTTTATACATTTATCAACCAGTCTGTCTCTAGGTGGATAATATATATATATATATATATATATATATATATATATATATATATATATATATATATATATATTTTTTTTTTTTTTTTTTTTTTTCTCTCCCTTTTTTGATAGCGCCTAAAGAATTTATCTCTTGAATACATAGTGTCCGATGATAAGCTACTTGTTTGCAAATAAACACTGTAATCGTTTTAGACCCCACCCAAAGTGTCATAGCCCTGTCAATAACCTAGTCATCTAAACTTGGTTATCTGATTGACGACTGAATTTGCAAGCTCTGGTCAACACCTGATCAACAGACAAATCCATGGGGGCAAAGCCTCCACTGGTGTACTTTTTTATTACTGTTATTTTATTGAAAAAGGAGGAATGGGGGGAGGGGGGGTAGTTGAAGGTAGTATGTTGTCTGAACCCTTGCCTAATAAAAGTATTTGCCAACGTATAATATTCTTCCCTTACATGCCATGATTATAATAATGTAGAGTTCCAGTTATTTACTGAAAGTTAAATTCATGATGTTAAGTTGACTTTTATGTTATTATCTGCTTAGTAAAAGTATTTTGTATTCTTTTTTGGTTATTAGGCTTATGAGAGAAGATTTCCCACCTGTAAAATGATCCCAGTGTTTCTTGGGAGTGACATTCTCAGTGAATATAAGAGTGAGGATGGTGCAATTCATACAATTGAAAGGAAATGCAAATTGAATGTAGATGCTCCATATATCTTGAAAAAAGTGAGTAAATCTGACATTTTAGGCAGTTGTAAGATTTTCATGCTGCTGTCTTGCGCTATAAGAAGAGGGGTGACAAATGAGAAAAGGTGTTCTACTATGCCTGTAGATATTCTGAAAGTGGAACACAGAAAAATAAGGGTGCCATTCTTGTTTTGTCTCTGGTGATTTCACACAATTACAATGAATAATGAGAGAAACATGGATTTTGTAGTGACTTTACCCTTTGAAGTAAAAAGCTCTTTTCTCTTAGTTGTTGTTAGTCCAGATACCCAGGTATTCAGTTGTAAGTTTTCAGTCTATGACACTGGTTCTTTCTTTTTTTTTTTAGATAGTTGGAGTGGAGTTTGTGTATTTTATCCAAAAGAACTCGCTTGATAGGCGGAACCGTACTCTCCACATTGAAGCACACAATGAGTCATTTTCTTCAAGGGTTATTATTAAGGAACACTGTGTTTATACAGTAAGTCTTTAAGTATGAATAAATTGACTGAATGAATAAGTTAACACTTCTTAGCAGGCTCTCACATAAATTTACATTCATTATTACATTCTCCTAATTTCATAAAGGACTAAGGAGATAAAATTTTTGTCTGTGCCTCATTCATACTTGTGTTTACAGTCTTTTGGAAGCTTCTTTTTATAATAATATATAAACAATGCTTATATTATGTTGCTGTAGTGATACACTAAGTACAGTGATATATCTTGTGATGTTATTGAAACAATTTGAAGCACTTGATGTATTTAAATCTAGAACTATCTTCTGCCATGAACATATATTTTATTTTGTATTATGACTTGCTTTGCCAGGTTCATCCTGAGAATCCAAACTGGACATGTTTTGAACAAGATGCCAGCTTGGACATCAAATCCTTCTTTGGGATGGAAAACATGGTAGAAAAGATTTGCATGAAAGAATACACCAAGAACATCAAAAAGGTAAAAATCTTGTAGAGTATAGATGAATGTTATTTATTGTTTGAAAACTCAGTCATTGCATTAATTTTTTTATTCTAAAAATTAAATAAAGAATTTTGAAATCAGTTGACTAGTAAATTTTAATGCATATGTTCCCATTGAATATTTTGAATATTTAGTATTTCCTGCTCCCTCTTATTCAATGTCTAGATTAAAAAAGATACCTACTTTGTGATTAGTTTAAACTTTCAACTAACTTCAACTTTATTTTTCTACATCAAGGGCAAAGAGGTAATAGAACATTTCATCAATGAGCTGATCAGTGAAGGGAAGGATTACATACCACCTTGGTCAGACGGAAGAGAATCTCTCAAGAGTCTGAAGGCACCCTCGCCCTCAGAGGAAGACGGAGAGGTTACACCAAGAATGGGGTCCAGAGCCAACAGCTGCAGTGATTATGAACTCCCTGTGGGAGCCACTGCAGCCACTGTGGATGGTAAGCCAGCTTAATGATAATGATAATAATGATGATGATGATTTATCTAGGAAATAGCAACCCATTTACTGATGTTTTACAGTTCTTGATGAAAGGATTGGATGGGAGAGCATTGAGGAAAAATTAGGGCTGTTATAAATTATGAAATCAAAATATAAATTTGCCACACAGTTTGAAAAGCATCATGCAGAATTACATAAAATGCATACAGCCACTGAAAATCTGATGGAGATACAGCACAGGGAAATTGTTCCGTAACAAAGTTGTTTTACAATGAGAGTGGAATTTAGTTATTATGAATGATTCTGAACATGTTTCTAACTCCAGAGTTAGCACATGAGGATTCAGCAGCAAATAGCAGTTAGTAAATATGAATACCTTTATGTGTATTAGTTGTATGGACAAAGAGGTCTGCTGCATTAAATTAATTTTGATAGTCATTTTCCATTCTCCACTTGTAGAATTGGATGTGAAAAATACCAAGCTGGATGCTGACTATATTCAGAGGTTCCTGGGAGAGCTGTCTCCTCTACAGGAGAGCATGCTGGTACAATTACGTAGGGTGCTGGTGGAACACCATAAAGGAAAGGTGAGATATATGTACATGATTGCTTTGGTTCTCCAGTAAAGTCATTTTAACCGCTCTATTTTGTCAGTCAGTCAAAACAGGTTTTGTTAATTTTGATACATTGATATCTTAAAATTTTCATATGTCTCTCTTTTTCCAACATTTTGATTATTCAAGAATATCATTTTGAGACATTCACACCGATGCACTGTCTGACATAAAGTCAAGTAACTTTCAAAACATTCAAGTAAACATTTTAAGTAGTAATTACAAAATGATTTAAAAAATCATCAATCTAAACAGTTGTGCAAATTAGCTGAGTATGTACTGTTTGCTATAGTGTTGTTCAAAATGTCCAGTTTTGACATGGATGGCACCTTCTCTGTGATCATCTGTTGATCTTATGTCAGGCTGTTGCAGAATACATACGAGCCCCTTGTTTAATATTTTTAGGTTCCACAAGATGACACAATTTTACGATTCCTGCGGGCCAGGGATTTTAATTTAGACAAAGCAAGGGAGATGATACTCCACTCCTTAGCTTGGAGAAAACTGCACAGGGTGGACAGACTGTTGAATACTTACACACCTCCACAAGTGATTAATGATTACTATCCTGGTGGATGGCATTATCATGACAGGGGTAGGGATATCTGGCATCATTATCAGTTACTGCTAGAATATAACTTTTTGTTGACATTAGATAAAAATGGTTCTGGCTTCAAGATGTACAGAATATTTCTCATTTGCAAAATTACCATCGACCGTAGTTATGGTTTGGTGGAAAACAATGTATAAAAGTATATCACATGATGATTAATGGTTTTTGAAGTGAATCTTATATTCTTCTAGAGGGTCGCCCATTGTACATACTAAAATTAGGGTCCATGGATGTAAAAGGACTGCTTAAAACATCTGGAGAGGAAGGAATACTCAAACATGTAAGTATGAGAAGGGTATAGTAAAAGTGAATCCTATTTATTTGCATGACTTAAATAATGCTCAGGTAGAATACAGTGATTTTCATTTTGAAACTCGTTATAATTTCTGGTTCAGCTTTACTTAAGCTGAAAATTTATTTTCACATCTTATTTAGCTGAGCATATTCCATAGTGGTACATTTGACATATTGGTATATATTGTTGAGTTTCATTTATTATGCATTTCATAATAAATTTTGTTTTTTGATCAGGTACTTGCTGTGAATGAAGAAGGCATATTAAGAGCAGAAAAAGCCACCAAGCATTATGGTCATCCTGTCAGGTAGACACATTTTCTGAGACAAAACATTTACCTTATTTAATTTGGATAGGTATAACTGGTTTATTGTCTGATGATGATAATGTGTTTATTTTAATGGACATTTTTAATTGGGAAGGTGTGAAACACTGTAATAGTAGTAAAAGATTAGATTAACCAGTTTTGTGCAGTTGTTGCCATAGGCATTTCATCTAGGATTTGTGCCCCCCCTCCCCCTGTCCCTCTCTAAGACCAATAATATTATATTAGATATATACATCTATATAATATTATATTATATTATATAGATGTGTTTTGTAGTTTAAAATATCTACAAAATACATCTATATTATATTATATTATATTATATTATATTATATTATATTATATTATATTATATTATATTATATTATATTATATTATATTATATTATATAGATGTATTTTGTAGATATTTTAAACTTTAATGCCTACAAACCTAGATAATGCTTGGCCCCGATTTAAATGAAATAAAATGCTCTGGGACATCCTTTGGCATTTCATCTGGGATTTGAGTATAATAGCTACAGTTTTCTGCTTACCCACCTGCATAATACTTTATCAAGAAATTAATAGTGTTCCCCTGTTTATATCAGCACTTGCACCTGTATAGTGGATCTAGAGGGGCTGAGCATGAGGCATCTGTGGCGACCAGGCATCAAGGTTCTCCTACGTATCATAGAAGTGGTGGAGGCCAACTATCCAGAAACCATGGGCCGACTCCTCATTGTAAGAGCACCAAGGGTTTTTCCAGTCTTGTGGACCCTGATCAGTCCTTTTATTGATGAAAACACTCGACAGAAATTCATGATTTATGGTGGAAATGACTACAAAGAAGGACTAAAAGACTTTGTCGAACCACAGTACATTCCTGACTTTCTTGGGGGTGACTGCTATGTAAGTATACAATAAAAAAATCAATAAAAAGTTCTGCAAGCTCTTGGTGTTATGGTTACAGTATTATATGATGTTACTCAGAGAAGAAACTTATTAGCATTATAGTTTTTGCCAGCTCTACTGATCTACTAAATGCCAAAAAATATTGTATTTTATAAAACAGTTTGTGGATTCTTAACCTTTAAAAATATTTTTCCTAGTGCGATGTTCATGATGGTAGTCTAGTTCCCAAAACTCTCTATGAGCACACTGAGGAAGATGTGGAAAAGGCAGCAGAGGGAGATCCCCTGTCTATTGACAGCCTCTACAAAACTGCTTTTGTTAGCAAGGATTATCCACAAGAGGTAGGTTATTGAGAATTTGAAACTTGTTATATTTGAATGAGAATTAAACACATGAAAAGTTTGTTTAAATTGATTGTAAAGATGATGGAACTTAGGAGCCAACAAAGTAAAGGTAAAGATCAGATTTATATTTGATTTTAGATGGGTAACTCTGGGTACTGATACCTCACCTTGTACCTAATGAAAATTCCAAAGACAAAAGAATGCAATAAAATGTTGAAGTGCTGCAAAAATTTAACCTGTAGTGAAATAAAGCACTTCAAGAAGATATGTCGTTTTAACATACAAGTTATTACATTATAAGCAAAATGGATGAAAATCACTGTTAACAACAGATTGGGATGACAGCAAATATTCCCAATATTGTCTTCTCCAGCTGCATATCCATGTGCCTCAGAAAGGTTCAGTGATCACATGGGACTTTGACATCCTTAAAGGTCACGTGACCTTCACTGTGATGCGGAGCCGTAAGCCAATCATAGATGAGCCTCACATCCACCACATCCATGGGGCAGCCCCTGGCGTGACTTCCACACAGTATATAGACAAGTCTAAGGTGGTGGGAGTGGACCTCAGCATAGTGGAGGCACCATTTGTGTGTAGGGATGGAGACAGTGTGCAGGTGAGTGGCTTTGTATTTCATGAGATGGGGGACGGGGGGATATATGGTGGATACTTTAAGTGATTAAAATATCACGTTCCTAGAGATAAGAGAAAAATAAGGGAGGGGGGGGGTAAAATAAAATTTTAAAAAAAATTAAAGAGAGAAAAGTCATTGGAGCTGAGTAAATGCAAGAACTTCAGTGCAATGGATTCTAAAGTGTCTTGTGTGTTAGTGGTATTTTGAATATATATTTTAGAATATTGATAAGATGATATTTGATTATATATAAATGTAGACAAAGAGTGAAAAGGTACATTTAGATGTTTTAGTTAAATGGAGTATTTTTGGGTATTATTGTGATGTTAACTCAATTTTTGTTTTAAATTAGTTATTTCCATCAAGGGTGAAATGTGAAATTTAATGTTTTGCAACTCCTTTGAAACTTATTTGAATTTCAGGGATCTCATGTGACCAGCAGTTCGGGGTCTTATATCCTGCAGTGGAAGTACTTTGACTCTGCTAAAGCTGCCAACCCTCACTCCTTTGACTTCTCTCTTACAACACACAAATCCAAGGTCATGTACTACACAGAGTTACTGCAGTCAGAGAACTTCAAGTAAGTTTTGAATGGGTATAATTAGGGTACTTGATTTTACCATCAGTTTTTGTGAAACAAATTCATTTACATTTCTGCTGCATGAATTATCTAAACTACTAAAATAATTTCAATTGCAATTTCATGAACAGTTTGTCAGTCTAGTGTGACATCATGTTTTGCAGACAGCCTTGTTTTCAGCTATCTTGGAGGATTTCCATTTTAACCACCATAGAATAAATGATTTCCACCGACAAAGAATTTAAAACATTGTTTTCCTTATTATCAGAACACAACCTTATTATCAGAACACATTTTTGCACTATAAGAAAGAGCGTCACACTCTAACTGGTTTGAGTATGTATACCTAACTATTTAGTAACTGGTTTGAGTATGTATACCTAACTACTTAGGTTGATGTTTATTGACACCATGCTCTTATTTTCAGGGGATCCATGACAAGTTTACAGTCTAGTCTCCAGTCTAGTCTCCAGTCTAGAAGTTTCTCTTCACTCAGCCTGGTTAGTGGTCAGTCAGACAGGGACCAGAGGTCGCAGGGTGCTATCGCCTCCTCCTGGAACTCATCCCCGTCACGGTGACATGAGGGACGCATTGCTGGTCACAGTAGGACGCATAGCTCACAATAATGTTTGTCATCCATCCAAGGCATATACAGGTCAGGCAAAACTAAAACCAGCATGGCTAAATTATCATTTTGCTGCAGAGAGAATGGAAAAATGTTCCCGCTATATTGAGCTGATTTTTGCAAAATTCTGTAAGAGTGCTTTTGTCTCTGCATGGCTAAATTGTCTTTTGGGTGCTAAGAACAGAAAAGTTATGATACTAAAGCTGTTTTATGCTGGTTTTAACAGATTTACAAATTTTCAAAGTAGCTTGACTGTGCTTAAACAGCCAAATTATAATCAATGTTTTGTTTACACAGGGAAATTTTATACCACTTTTCTAGTCTCAATTACATTGGAAAGTCTGTTTGGAAAATTGCCCATGATTATTACTCAAAAATGACATTATTGAAGCTCAGTTATCCCATTTGTGATTGGTAATGCGTTGTGAATTATTTGGGAGACATTTACCTCCCAGGAGGATTGTAGAGGAAGATTTTTTTCATTCATTGTATCTGTGAATAATTTCTGGTAAATTAGAATATTACCCTTGTGCCTTTCACCTATAGGAAATCCCACATTGCCTTGAAGAAAAGTGGTAGTTAAATTGTCTAAGGTTATCCTCAGATATCTTGTTAGCTTGGTAGTTAATTTCTCTCAAGTTTATTTGTTAACAATACCTATCAAGCCCAGTTTATGAACTAACACAATAAACAAGTAATAAGGTATATTATCTTCGTGCCAGTACTTAAGATATAAGATAATATATTAAGAAATTAAGTTAATGGAGTCATTATGTGAGAATAAGTTAAAAAGGCACTCTTGTGCTTGAAGTAGATTTAATGAAACTAGTCAAAAGTGAATCAAACTTTGTGTCTGGTGCATTTGTATACTGAAGCAATATGTTCAAATTAAAACCACAAAGCTTGGACTTTATCAGCCAATAGGCTGACAAAAAGTTTTAGTGGCCAAAGTGCAGTGAAATAATCAAAAAGGCAAAGCTTAATCCCAATCAGGCCTTTTATGATACCAGCAATTATAGTACATGAAGTTTTATGATAGCTACTGCTTGCTGTGTTATCACGTGTGTATGTGCAATGAAAAGTAATGATTTGCTGTCACTTGTCATTATGTGCTAGTGAAATGAAAGTATTCTTCAACCTGTTTTAACAAAAATGTTCTTATATAATCCAAAACTGATTTTATTCTGCGAGGTTCACTGTGTTGCTCCAGGTATTTAGATATTTGTTTTTTGGTTTTTATAATCTTAATGATCCATTGATACCAAGTGTATGTTGATACATGTGATAGAGAAGGTGTTGGGACTTTAATAAAATATTTCAACCAGATGTCATGATACAGAGTCACAGGGTAAAAAAAAAAGCACTCTAAGTCTCAGCTATGAAATAATTGGAAACTGTGCCTCATCTGTTACAGCATTATGTATGCCATAACTGATTTGATATTTTGGAGAAATGAAATCCACCTTCAAAACTCGGGGTAGGGAAACAGTAACTTACTTCTATCAGGAATTTGAAATCCGTCTGAACAACAGAAATGCATCCGGCTTTTAAGACTCTTGTTGGATCTGATGGGTATAAACTTAAGCTGTCTTTGAGGTGGATTTTTGGTGATATGAGTTTTGTCCATGCTAATTTATAGAAATGTCTACAACTTACATCCAGTGAGAAAAAAATACAGGGAAAAGGTTAAGAACAAATATATTTATTATAGAAGTTATTTATAGGTAAAAAATCCATTTCTTCATATTCTTCATCTATTCTTATACTGTATTGCATATATCAAGGTTTTTGTTGGTTCAGATGAGCCAGACTGATTTTTTGCCATCCCTCCAAATAAGGAGCCTCCATGTAGGATGTGGTATAGTATGTCGATCTTTTCTATCAATCCTACACATTTTCAATATGACATATTTATGCCATAAAGTGAATTCCTATTGGACACAAAATGATTAAGATGTGAAAGCTGGTTTGAAGGAAAAGGAATAATTACCGCATTCAGTGGAAGGTCAGTTTTATAGTTTGTTAACAGAGCATTCTTTGCTTACTTTTCCTAAAAAAAGGCAATGAGTATTTTAATTTTATAATAGTTATTAATTGTCATGGTGATGGAATTTTTTTCAAAAAAATATTTTTAATAATTATACTGCTGTAAGGGATGTTATGTGGTCCACAAACCCAGGATTCTTGCATGTTGGGTGTGCTGTGAACATAATTAAGTTTACTTAAACCATTTTTTTATTTTCCCCAGGATGTAATGCATCTTTATATATTTACTGGACTAGATAATAAAATTTGGTTGATTTTGTTCAGTGGTTTCTTCCTTTATGTGCAACAGTGCTTCTTACTAATTGTTTTCAATAGATAAAAAAATGGAGAGATTTAGAATTATATTTAAACACAATTACATGTTTTGATGTAAAGCTTCAAATTTGGGTTTAATTTATAAAAAAAAGGTGACAAAAACATATGAAGACAATTTTATTGAAATTTAAAAATGTATCACGAGTTGTTTAAATAAGGTGGAATATGTCACTGCCCTCTTTCATAAAACCTTCACTAGTCAACTTGGGGCTTGTTGCCCCAGTTTCCTTTTCATTTGAAATAGTGTACTTTTATTTTTGCCTTAAATAGGGTTGCTTCTGTGAACTACAATGGAGTTGTTAATAAAAGGTGACAAAAAACATCCACTCTTAACAGTTCACATTTTACCACAATAGAATTGTCATATAAATGCAAAATTTCTTGCTCTGCAAGTTTTTTATCTGGACCAAGCTTTAAATAAATATCTATCCAGTATTTTTCACAATATCATAATTAACATACAATTGAATATAATGAAAGTTCCCCTCTCCCAATCAAATTTGCATCATACATCATTGGCACGCTGCTATGAATGGACTGATGTCAGTGATGTTTTCCAATATTTTTCTCTATAAATTATTAAAATTCTGATAAAATGGCATGGTTTATATACAAATGCAATGACAAAACCTATAAAAAGTCTAAATGGTACAAGATATTCCGACAAGGTTACGTCTTTTGCATATCCAGGAGGCACCTTGTCCTTTCTTTCTCAAGTCTGCACCAGTTAAACAAAACTGGTGTTAATGTTGATTACAAATCTATCTAATCTTGCCTCCACCTCCATTAAATTTGGCCCAACTGTGACCCCTTGCAAGTTTTATGTTACACTTCATTATTCAGTGAAAACACAAGTTGAATCCACAAACACTTACACAATAATGATAGAAAGAATGGACTGTTACAGAATATCATTTTGAATTTTAATTCTCTGTAAAAGATACACATCTGACATTGAACCTCCGTACTCCCATGGGGGCATAATAATACTAATAAAAAAAAGCAATATTTTGATAAACAGCTCAAGCTGTCTAATGATGGTAATTCAAGCAAAAGAAATGCTGACTAGACTTCACTGACATTTAAAAATCATCTGTCCACAACAAAATACATAAATTGCATATTTATACATCCTCAATACTGTCAAGAACCCAATTCTTAGTGCGTCTAACTGGGCTCCCATTTTTTAAATGTATTTAAATTACTGACTTAAGCCAATAAATTTCACATCATCCACATATTGTTGATTAAATTAAGAAAATATGACTTGGGCTGGTACTTGTTTTTTCATAAAATAATAATTTCCAATGCAAGCCTGTATCACTTTAATTGTATATATATTTAATTTTCGCCAAGGGCAAGTTCCAGGGCTCAGCTTAGTCACTAAAATGGGGCAGCTGACAATGCAAAGTTGACTTTGTTTCCTTGGCCTAAAAGGTTTTAGAAATAATTGGTCCACAATAAATGTATTTGACATGTCTAAATGGACTAATGTCACCACTGATAGTCAATACAATCACAATTTGCTGTAGGTCCTTCATTAAAAGACCAAAAAACAAGGTAAGTGGCCCTTTAGAATTACAACTTCTGCAATTACAATTTAGTAGGCCGAGATCTTGGCCCAAAAACTGACTCTTCTTTTTGTTAAACAGGCCTACAGTTGACTTTGAGCCTGAAAATATCTAACTGGGTATAACATGGTAATATTGCATCAGAGATCACAGTATATATATATATGTGTGTGTCAGTACCATTACTGATGGCGCTGTATTTACATTGATGGAATGTATTATTGCATTACACATGCTTGGACACTTTTATTAACCAAAAATAAAATTGGCAATATATCACCCAAAGAAAGCTTGGTGGTCAATTTCGTACTCATAAACTAAGAGTAACATCTGGCACATACTTTTCAAATGGTTACCATAAGACACAAGTAAAATGGGATAAATAACCAAGGCAAATGAAATACCAATATTTCCATAATATGTGTCATTAATTATTAGGTTTATCCCTTATGGGCAAAAAATCCTATGTAGAACAGGTATAATCACCAGCTATTATCTTGTCTGATATAACTGTAACTCCTCTTCCCCCCCCCTCCCCTCCCCAATCCAAAACCCCTTATAAAATAAGTTCATACTAATACCGAACAACATCTGCTTTCTTCTCATTTTGTAAAGATATCCACAAACAGACTAGTTTTCAAAACAGATCCAGTCATTCTAGAGCATAGATATGTTCCTAACTTTTTCTTAAATGCACTATGCATGGTAAACATTAAAGGTATGCCTTGGTGTCAGCACCATTACTGATAGTACAGTACCAATGCGAATGACTGTAATAAAGGATAACTATTCGTAAAGGATAACTATAATTACTTATCTCTCATTTCTTGTCAGCCTAATACCATGCAATAAGTGCAATTTTAAATTCTAAAATAATTATTAAAATCTTTTTAGTTTCTGGTCCACCAAACACTCTACAGACACTTAAGGATTCCGAAATTAGATAAATTAACATTTTATGATACAAAACTAAATGCCACTGCACTTAAAACTTTTGTCACATAAATAATTTAATACAAAACAATTATCATTTTCTATAATCAGTTTCAGGCATCCAAGCTGAGAATCTTCCAAGTCAAATCTTGAATGCTGTTCTTGGCTTCCAGTGCTGAAACATGGACATTAAAACATCCAATTGTCATCATGAAAAAGGGCATTCAAAATCCATCTCTAATATGACTATTTTACCCTGAGCTTCAGATCCCACGCACATCAAATTTTCCACATAAATGCCCAACAGTTCACTGACAGTCGTGAAGATCGCCCATCTGAATCTTAAGCTCAGGGTCAACTCCATCTCCACAAACTCAGCTCAAGTGAACTTTGTATGCATTTATTTCCATGGGGTGGATTTGTACGGCTGTAGTGAGATCCACATTATGACTGTCATACATCAATGAAAGTGAGGTGGAAGTTGCCTTGGTTATCCTTGGGGACTTCAGCATGCCCTCAAGTGTAAACTGAAAATGAAAGTTTTTTTTTTATTTTTGGTATAAACTTTATAGTTTATGTTCAGTACCAAACTCTTTTATGGAGATGCAATAATGTCCTACAGAGTTGGAGAGTTTTGAGGAGTGAAATGCTGAAATTCAGAGAGGGAGCAGAGATAAGTCATAAAGAGAAGAGAAGAGACACAATTCATGCAGTCAATTTTTTCAATCGAGTTTCAACAAGGGCAATTGTGAGATATTTTTAAAATTGGCTAACAGTATCTTGAGGGTAATTCTAATATTTCTATTATAAAGACTAAATTAAATATTGTTATAGTGTTTTGACATGATCTCACTGTATTGTCTAGTTTGAACACGTAAAAAAATACCAACACAAAATATAGCCAAATACACAACAGGAAATCCAACCCACCTGTCCACCTGATATACTGCACTTGAATCCATATGCTGGATAAGAACAATCAAATGCAAATCTATGAACAAGTAATGCTGCTGTTTGAGATGGTGTGAAATCCCCCTCAGCTATCTGTAGAGTCCTGAGGTTTAGAAAGTGAAGTTCACATGGTAAATCAGCAGTGAGGGCCGAATACTGTGGCTCCAGTGGTGTAAGTGTTGTGACGTGCTGTGACTGAGGAATGATGTGCATGGGATGCAACAAATCCAAGGAGGACATCTGCCCCAGTAGAGACGGATACCCCATTGGCTGTGTTGGAAGGGGCTGAAAATATAGAAATATAAATGAAATTATTCAGCAATAATATTCACTTGTGTAACTTCTTAATTTATAATCATACAAAAACAATCAAAAACAGGCAAGTAGTGTTTAAAAAGTTTATTGCAAAATTACCAAAAAGATGTAAAACAATGTTCACATTGAAAATTTTAAAAATCTTATATTCATGGCAGATTTGATATTTAGTTGAATCAATCATATATATATATATATATATATATATATATATATATATATATATATCAAATCAGCTAAATTAATTAAACTGTGACAGCTTTAATCTTCATGATTAAGAAGTAATAAAAGACTGAGAATGATCTAACAAACTATAACCTCAATTAGGTGTCCAAGGGGAAATGTCTGAACTGGAAAAATGTCCACTGACATCAGGCCAGCAGCCCATGTTTACAGAATGTAGCGACAACAATTTTTCTCCACAAAGTGACCTCACTTACCTTGGCGTCACTTAGCTTCCTTTCCAATAATATCCTGAACTGATAATCAGTTCTTTTGTTGTCCTTCACTCCTTGCATCAGCCCCCGGTTATCATCTTGCATTAGACGTCTGTCCAGTACAACCTCCAACCAGCCTGTAAACAAAGCCATGTGGTACAACTGTATCTACTCAATAAATTCAAACAATATGATTTAATAATCAGGATTTTGATCATCAGTAAAATATCATTCATCAGGCCTTTAATAAACATTCTCCTTATCACTTCCTTATCTGAAGAAATTGGGGGACTGACTAAAACTAGCCATACCAGTTTTGAGAGAAGAGCCTCCCAAACTCTGTGCAGTCATGACACTGAACCGAGACTGTCCATCCTGAATATAAGCCATGGTTGAGATAGGATAAAAGTTGGCTTGCAGAGGTAGTTTCCTTTGCATTTTCCTCTTTTGCATCTAAAATAGAATATATCATTTCAGACTGTTGCAATACAAATCAATATAAACAACAGGAGTGGATGCACAATTTGTCTATCAAATTTTATGATAGGAAAGATCTATACATCAATGGCTTCATCATTTAATGGAATTAATCACTTAATAAAGTTTTAATTACCACAGAAGCACAGTAAGGGAAATGGGGACGTTAAAGGCATTAAACAAATTTAACCCAAACCCATATCTCAATACCTGAAATCCATTGAGATCAGTGAAGAACTGGCCATCACTATTTTGGATATCAGTCATTAGCCTCATAGCTATTTCATAATTGGACTCCCCACGGATGTCAACTATATTGTGTATGCCTACAGATGATCCACTGGTGCCTGAAACACATGAAGATTGCACCTCATTAATCATACTGTTAATTTAAAGACATAAATCTTAACATGAGGGTGCCTGAGCATGTGAATTATTCAAATAACATGGACTGGCATGGCAAATTATGTAGCAGCACAGTTAAAAATAAATCAGTCTAGGTCTGGATTTTGCCAACAGAAAAATATATTAATCAGTTATCTAATAGTCTTTAGCCTTGTGGTTAAAAATTCCATCCTCTCTCTTCTCACACACACACACACACACACACACACACACACACAGTTGCACTCAAGCCAAACAACATTTCATTGTTTGCACAGTGGTAATTTAATTAACTCCATTTAATTGTCTTCTAAAATGATTTAGACTTTATCCTGGATCTCTCTTCATGCTTGGCCACATCCAGTAATAAGTCAGTGGGCTGTATCTGATATACTTGACTGCCATGCATGAGCAGACACCACATGGCACTGACAAATAGAGTATGCAACTCATACTACAGTGCACAGTGAGGACAAAAGATCTAGGCTTGGCGAAACTTGCAGTGTGCATATCATGCATTTATTGGAGATGCATCACACCTGGATCTTTTGTTCTTGATATCCTTGGTATAATGTCTATACTTAACTACCTACCTGGAGAGTTACAAACCCTCACAGTGTGTTCTACATGGGGGATGAATACATGGACCTCAGACATCAGGGCACCTTGTACAACCCGGATGAATGGGTTTCCTACATCTATATTCTGATGAAAAATATATTTTTCAATAATTAATCAGTGACTATAAGACACAGTGATTATTTGAATTAATTAGTGAATTTGTGATATTCTCCATAACTGTTGCAATATTTTTGTTAAAATTATAATAATATTTTAATAAGCTCTAAATTTTCAATCAATTACCATATAATGCTCTGGATTCTTTTTTTCGAAAAAGTACACCTTTTTTAACATGAAACCTACTTATGCTTTACTGCTGGCAACAGAACCTAGATCGAATTTTGATTTATAGAAGGCATTTTCAAGCCAAAAGGGCAATTCATTTGAACCTCCTAACACCCTCTGCTTACCTGAGCAGGTCCATTTGGCAGGAACAGGTAAGCCCCACTCTTCTCTTTAGCATTAATGGTCCCATACTTTACAAACTGCACCTGGACTTGGTTAACTTGGCCATCTTTGACTGTGGTTATAGACTAAAAATCAAGAGGGGCATTGCATAATGTTTCTCAACAGATGTTGAACAATCACATCAAATATGTAATTGAAATAGAATATTATATACTTGATTCAAAAACACAGTCTTAAAAAGGGCTATCAAAATTTTGCATTCAATAATTTTTTTCAAAAATCATAATAAAGAATATTTTGTAGAGTAACCACATTTTGAAACTTTTGAAAGATATTAATGAATAAAAGGTATAATTGTTATATATATATATATATATATATATATATATATATATATATATATATATATATATATATATATATAATATTTTGATTTTTTTTTATGAACAATATTATCATAATTAGATGTCATGGAATATATACCTTGATCATTCCCCCATTTGAAAACTGCACTTTCATATCTGAATTTTCAATAGAAAACTCTTCAGTTATCTTTCTAAAAATCTTAAATGGTCCCCTGCAAAACAAACAGAAATGGGCATATGTATTACAATTCATTATATGTTAGTTAGTGGAAATGACAATCGGTAGTTACCATTTAAACAAATTTAAATACTTAGACTATAAACAAATAATCAACCAATGTTATCATTTTTTTTCTTTTCCAAATAACTAAAATAAGTTTCTCATTTTCATTACTTAAACTAAATAAGTCTATCTAAACATAACAAAAATTCCATAACAAAGCAAAGCCAAATATATTTTGTCAGTGAAGAACTCTGAATGTGTGCTCACCTAGTAATTGAAGTGGTACTTTGAGCATTATACATCACAATAACTGGAAATGTAGCAGATGGATTGGTTCCTTCTTGTACTTTACGGATAGTATATTTACTGAGACCAAGAGCAGGTACTTGAGCAACAAATGAAACCTGAAATTTAAATTTGCACTCTATTTACTGAGCAACAATGAGCACCTACATGAAAAATGAAAATATGAGGCATTTAATAGATGAAAATATACCTACAAACTTTGCCAGTTAGTCTCTTCCGTCCCTATGGAGTAGAATCACCCAAAACATTTGAGTAAAATTACACCTTTTCTGTTTAAAAATAATTAAATATCAGGTTGAAATAGAAGCAAAATAATCACATACCTTATAAATGTCAGAAGAAGACTCTTCATTGTTCATCCAAAAGAGGTCTGTCTGAGTCTGAACAACATTTCCAAGAGGGTCTTTGACTTCTACAAAGGGTTCAGATACATACAGCCTGACGATGTCTGATCTCTCTTGTGAGAGGGAATTATACAATATCACAGTCCTGAGGGAAAAAAAACAATAATAGATCAAAAAAAATAAATTTTCATCAAAAGAAACACTTTTCATCAATATAATCATGAGTAAATACAGCTTCATTACTTTCTTTAATCAAGTCCATATGTTTTGAAGTATTGATTGAAGAAGATGAAAAAAAGCATTATACCACAAAGTTACAGTCAAGCTCTATCTAATTGAGAAATACATAATATTCTTAAAGAAGAAGAGCAAAGATTTCCACTATATAAAATAAATGAAATTTTCAAGACTATGCTTATATGCTTGTGTACTCATGTGTACCTTCCATACTCATAAAGGCATGTTACCTTGGTTCTGGTAATAATTTGATAACTGTCTTCTGGGGAAGAGAATCTTGTGCAACTCTTTGCTCATCCTGATAAAAAAATAAGTGAATATATAAAATTGCATACATTAATCCAATATAAGCATAAAAGCCAAATGAAAATAAAACCTCAATGATGAATTTATAATCAGGTTTAGCTCTCAAGTCAAAAGATGTAATTTTATTTTGCTTTCTAACAGCTGCTAGTTCTAATCCCTTAAACAAAAAATCCCTCAATCACTTGATTTGGACAGAAAAAGTAAATTCTTTGTCTGATCATTTCCAACTAAATAACTGTTTAGGGTCAGAATAATATTCCAGTGAAAATGTTCTGTCATCTGAGAGAAAAATTATGTTCAAGTAAGCCCAATTAACTTACATGTCCTAAAATCTTTACACAAATTATCCACAATTGATTTACTAAAATCAAATCATCACTCAAAAGGATTTTATTCTAATGAGCACCTGAAGTGAAGCATATTTTAGTGATATGATATAAATTAATAGGTCAAATTCTCACCACATCAAAATAAAGAGTTGAAGGATCATGCGCATATTGACTCTTGTCTTTTGCCAGAAGGAAGTGAGCACACACACTGATCACAGTCTTACAGTTCTGCATGCCATTAAGTATCCTGGAATAAACTTTCATATTATATTGCAGATATCGTACAACTATACACATCAACAAGCCTTACTGAATTTAGAATCTGTGATAAATTAAAATGACTTCATCAAACATAATATTATGGCTTAGGGAATGATATACTTATCTATCAAAAAACAGCCTTTGGTCTTTGAATTTTGGATATCATCAATAAACACAGTGATAAACTCTGATTAATTCCTTTTAAGAGTGCTTAATCAAAATGATACANATAAAAATAAATGAAATTATTCAGCAATAATATTCACTTGTGTAACTTCTTAATTTATAATCATACAAAAACAATCAAAAACAGGCAAGTAGTGTTTAATAAGTTTATTGCAAAATTACCAAAAAGATGTAAAACAATGTTCACATTGAAAATTTTAAAAATCTTATATTCATGGCATTTTTGATATTTAGTTGAATCAATCATATATATATATATATATATATATATATATATATATATATATATATATATATAATCAGCTAAATTAATTAAACTGTGACAGCTTTAATCTTCATGATTAAGAAGTATTAAAAGACTGAGAATGATATAACAAACTATAACCTCAATTAGGTGTCCAAGGGGAAATGTCTGAACTGGAAAAATGTCCACTGACATCAGGCCAGCAGCCCATGTTTACAGAATGTAGCGACACATTTTTTCTCCACAAAGTGACCTCACTTACCTTGGCGTCACTTAGCTTCCTTTCCAATAATATTCTGAACTGATAATCAGTTCTTTTGTTGTCCTTCACTCCTTGCATCAGCCCCCGGTTGTCATCTTGCATTAGACGTCTGTCCAGTACAACCTCCAACCAGCCTGCAAACAAACCCATGTGGTACAACTGTATTTACTCAATAAATTCAAACAATATGATTTAATAATCAGGATTTTGATCATCAGTAAAATATCATTCATCAGGCCTTTAATAAACATTCTCCTTATCACTTCCTTATCTGAAGAAATTGGGGGACTGACTAAAACTAGCCATACCAGTTTTGAGAGAAGAGCCTCCCAAACTCTGTGCAGTCATGACACTGAACCGAGACTGTCCGTCCTGAATATAAGCCATGGTTGAAATAGGATAAAAGTTGGCTTGCAGAGGTAGTTTCCTTTGCATTTTCCTCTTTTGCATCTAAAATAGAATATTTCATTTCAGACTGTTGCAATACAAATCAATATAAACAACAGGAGTGGATGCACAATTTGTCTATCAAATTTTATGATAGGAAAGATCTATACATTAATGGCTTCATCATTTAATGGAATTAATCACTTAAAGTTTCAATTGCCACAGAAGCAATAACAGTAAGGGAAATGGGGATGTAAAAGGCATTAAACAAATTTAAACCAAACCCATATCTCAATACCTGAAATCCATTGAGATCAGTGAAGAACTGGCCATCACTATTTTGGATATCAGTTATTAGCCTCATGGCTATTTCATAATTGGACTCCCCACGAATGTCAACTATATTGTGTATGCCTACAGATGATCCACTGGTGCCTGAAACACATGAAGATTGCACCTCATTAATCATACTGTTAATTTAAAGACATAAATCTTAACATGAGGGTACCTGAGCATGTGAATTATTCAAATAACATGTACTGGCATGGCAAATTATGTAGCAGCATTTGTGTGCGTTCAAATACACAGTTAAAAATAAATCAGTCTAGGTCTGGATTTTGCCAACAGAAAAACATATTAATCAGTTATCTAATAGTCTTTAGCCTTGTGGTTAAAAATTCCATCCTCTCTCTTCACACACACACACACACACACACACACAGTTGCACTCAAGCCAAACAACATTTCATTGTTTGCACAGTGGTAATTTAATTAACTCCATTTGTCTTCTAAAATGATTTAGACTTTATCCTGGATCTCTCTTCATGCTTGGCCACATCCAGTAATAAGCCAGTGGGTTGTATCTGATATACTTGACTGCCATGCATGAGCAGACACCACATGGCACTGACAAATAGTGTATGCAACTCATACTACAGTGCACAGTGACGACAAAAGATCTAGGCTTGGCGAAACTTGCAGTGTGCATATCATGCATTTATTGGAGATGCATCACACCTGGATCTTTTGTTCTTGATATCCTTGGTATAATGTCTATACATTACTACCTACCTGGAGAGTTACAAACCCTCACAGTGTGTTCTACATGGGGGATGAATACATGGACCTCAGACATCAGGGCGCCTTGTACAACCCGGATGAATGGGTTTCCTACATCTATATTCTGAGGAAAAATATATTTTTCAATAATTAATCAGTGACTATAAGACACAGTGATTATTTGAATTAATTAGTGAATTTGTGATATTCTCCATAACTGTTGCAATATTTTTGTTAAAATTATAATAATATTTTAATAAGCTCTAAATTTTCAATCAATTACCATATAATGCTCTGGATTCTTTTTTTTTGAAAAAGTACACCTTTTTTAACATGAAACCTACTTATGCTTTACTGCTGGCAACAGAACCTAGATCAAATTTTGATTTATAGAAGGCATTTTCAAGCCAAAAGGGCAATTCATTTGAACCTCCTAACACCCTCTGCTTACCTGAGCAGGTCCATTTGGCAGGAACAGGTAAGCCCCACTCTTCTCTTTAGCATTAATGGTCCCATACTTTACAAACTGCACCTGGACTTGGTTAACTTGGCCATCTTTGACTGTGGTTATAGACTAAAAATCAAGTGGGGCATTGCATAATGTTTCTCAACAGATGTTGAACAATCACATCAAATATGTAATTGAAATAGAATATTATATACTTGATTCAAAAACACAGTCTTAAAAAGGGCTATCAAAATTTTGCATTCAATAATTTTTTTCAAAAATCATAATAAAGAATATTTTGTAGAGTAACCACATTTTGAAACTTTTGAAAGATAGTAATGAATAAAAGGTATAATTGTTATCTATATATATTATATTTTGATTTTTTTTATGAACAATATTATCATAATTAGATGTCATGGAATATATACCTTGATCATTCCCCCATTTGAAAACTGCACTTTCATATCTGAATTTTCAATAGAAAACTCTTCAGTTATCTTTCTAAAAATCTTAAATGGTCCCCTGCAAAACAAACAGAAATGGCCCTATGTATTACAATTCATTATATGTTAGTTAGTGGAAATGACAATCGGTAGTTACCATTTAAACAAATTTAAATACTTAGACTATAAACAAATAATCAACCAATGTTATCATTTTTTTTCTTTTCCAAATAACTAAAATAAGTTTCTCATTTTCATTACTTAAACTAAATAAGTCTATCTAAACATAACAAAAATTCCATAACAAAGCAAAGCCAAATATATTTTGTCAGTGAAGAACTCTGAATGTGTGCTCACCTAGTAATTGAAGTGGTACTTTGAGCATTATACATCACAATAACTGGAAATGTAGCAGATGGATTGGTTCCTTCTTGTACTTTACGGATAGTATATTTACTGAGACCAAGAGCAGGTACTTGAGCAACAAATGAAACCTGAAATTTAAATTTGCACTCTATTTGCTGAGCAACAATGAAGTTATTTCTAATGAGCACCTAAATGAAAAATGAAAATAATAGGCATTTAATGGATGCAAATATACCTACAAACTTTGCCAGTTAGTCTCTTCTGTCACCCAAAACATTTGAGTAAAATTACACCTTTTCCGTTTGAAAATAATTAAATATCAGGTTGAAATAGAGGCAAAATAATCACATACCTTATAAATGTCAGAAGAAGACTCTTCATTGTTCATCCAAAAGAGGTCTGTCTGAGTCTGAACAACATTTCCAAGAGGGTCCTTGACTTCTACAAAGGGTTCAGATACATACAGCCTGACGATGTCTGATCTCTCTTGTGAGAGGGAATTATACAATATCACAGTCCTGAGGGAAAAAAAACAATAATAGATAAAAAAAATAAATAATTTTCATCAAAAGAAACACTTTTCATCAAGTCCATATGTTTTGAAGTATTGATTGAAGAAGATGAAAAAAAGCATTACAACACAAAGTTACAGTCAAGCTCTATCATTTATAGAAAAATGCATAATATTCTTAAAGAAGAAGAGCAAATATTTCCACTATACAAAATAAATGAAATTTTCAAGTCTATGCATATATGCTTGTGTACTCATGTGTACCTTCCATACTCATAAAGGCATGTTACCTTGGTTCTGGTAATAATTTGATAACTGTCTTCTGGGGAAGAGAATCCTGTGCAACTCTTTGCTCATCCTGATAAAAAATAAGTGAATATATAAAATTGCATACATTAACCCAATATAAGCATAAAAGCCATACGAAAAAAAAAACTCTATGATGAATTTATAACCAGGTTTAGATCTCAAGTCAAAAGATGTAATTTTATTTTGCTTTCTTACAGCTGCTAGTTCTAATCCCTTAAACAAAAAATCCCTCAATCACTTGATTTGGACAGAAAAAGTTAATTCTTTGTCTGATCTTTTCCAACATTGAATTAACATTGATCTTTATTCTGTAATTTCAGGCCTCTGACCCAAAATACATGTCCAACTTCACCATAATTTTCTACTAGTAGTAGACCCTAAATAACTGTTTAGGGTCAGAATAATATTCCAATGAAAATGTTCTGTCATCTGAGAGAAAAATTATGTTCAAGTAAGCCCAATTAACTTACATGTCCTAAAATCTTTACACAAATTATCCACAATTGATTTACTAAAATCAAATCATCACTCAAAAGGATTTTATTCTAATGAGCACCTGAAGTGAAGCATATTTTAGTGATATGATATAAATTAATAGGTCAAATTCTCACCACATCAAAATATAGAGTTGAAGGATCATGCGCATATTGACTCTTGTCTTTTGCCAGCAGGTAGTGAGCACACACACTGATCACAGTCTTACAGTTCTGCATGCCATTAAGTATCCTGGAATAAACTTTCATATTATATTGCAGATATCGTACAACTATACACATCAACAAGCCTAACTGAATTTAGAATCTGTGATAAATTAAAATGACTTCATCAAACATAATATTATGGCTTAGGGAATGATATACTTATCTATCACAAAACAGCCTTTGGTCTTTGAATTTTGGATATCATCAATAAACACAGTGATAAACTCTGATTAATTCCTTTTAAGAGTGCTTAATCAAAATGATATACCAAAAATCCATAAAAATATACCATTTAGACACCTTTAGAATGTTTCACAAAATAGCCTTTCTCTTTCAGGTTTTGAATATCAAACAGACCATTTTGTCCTATTTTTTTTTCCTTTTTACAAATCACTTATCCAAAGATATGACTCACATATTAGCATAATCGATAACAACATGGTCTTTTCCTGTTCCAGTTATGGCGTCATGATGTTGAAATAAGGCAAGACTTCTCCTTGCAACTATAATTTTCTCCAACATAGCACTGGCAGGGAATGTTGATGAAGCTTGTTTTCTGGATAGGGCAGTGGCCAGACTGTATAAAACTTCTGCTTTCCTGAAAAAAGTTTTTAAACTTAAAAACACTATTCCTTATGACACATTTGATTGTAATTAAAGGTTCTTTCATCTTCAACCAGATTTCATTATATAACTGATTTAATATTGATACAAATGAAATTTGTCTATAAACAGTATATTATGCTTTGATTGAAAACACCCAAGAAAAAAATCATGCTGAAAGATACTTTAGTACCACTTGTTAATGTATGCATGTAGTTTTCAATCATGCATTGTTTGATTCACAAATTTATTGATACATTTATAATTTCATTTTTGCATCCTTCTTTTGTGCTCTTCTCTGTTTTGATTTAGACAAAGAACTTCGTCATGTCATGATTCCCTCTTAAGTTGTTTTATCTTTGTGCCCCATCTTCATGTTTACGCTTTGTACTTCTTTCTTATACAAACCAATTTCTTGTTACTTATCCATTTTCTATTCTCATCTTACAGTCATTGATAAATAAAATCAAAAATATTATATTTGTCTTACAGTTACACTAAGACATGATTTCATATCAAAATATTATACCTCAAATTAGACTCTGCTACTCTATCTAAATGTTTATAGAATGGTCTAGAAGTAAAATAGCCACTCCAGTAATGGTCATCACGGTCAGCATAGGTGAAGAAGTCTCCAGCCAACCGGGGGTAGCCAGTGGGAGTGTCGTCTGCTTCTGTGCCTGCCCTCTCTCGCAAAGCATCAAAATAATCAGAGAGGGTCCCAAACTGAGCCTACAATGAGGAAATTAATTGTACAATATGGACTAAAATATCTTACAATGGTTTACCTGTACTGAATCCTTTCTCAGTAGAAATCAACAGAATCTGTTCCATCAAACCTGTAGTACTTTTAAATGAAAAGAAACACTGATAACACTATATATTAATTTAAAAAAAAAAATTTTTTTTCAGGTCAAGCTTTACTAAGCTTCCACAAATTTAGACAACATCAAAACACTACAAACAGACTAACATACTCTGAGCATAATGATGCAGGCCACCCTGAAAAAAATCTTTAACCATTATAAGAATTACCTGCACATGCCAATCTGGTTTGGCATTCATGTAGTCAAAAAGTTTCTTGTAATTTCCAAACTGGTTTTCCCACTCTTCTGGCTTGTCATAGCGGAAGTCATCTCCCAGTATAACTAGGACTACATTATTTCTGTACAAAGAAGCCTTCTTTCTGTACTGGTCTAGTAGTATCTCAGCTCTGAAAAGTGTGTACAGTAAACCTATCAGTATAACAAAGAATATGTTAAGCTGTGTTATGCATTCCAAGTTACAATAACAGAACAACAGGTAAAAATAAGAGTTATCATCACTCATATATTTTAACATCTCACAAGACATCGTCCTCAGAGAATTAGGTTACGTGTGTTATTATAGCCAGAAATGCAGAAATATGGCATGAAACTTTTTACCAAATCAATTTTTATTGGTCCACATATGTCACTAATAATAATAAACTTATTTACACAGTATAAAAATTTTGAAAGTTTGAGTAACTTCAATTTACATTTTCTATACAGCGTTATTGGTTAAACTTAAATAAATAATAGCAATGATGGGTTCTTAAAATTTCAATTAAATAAATGAAACTCACTTCTGTGCCACATTATTATTTGTAATGGGTACTGGAGGCACTCTCCATGGACAGGTTACCCTGCCCCCTGGAAGACGTTTGAAGTCATACTGACAGCAGATCTTGGGGTCGGGACCACAAGTGTGGGGGACATCGTAACTGTAGAATGGCATCATATGGCAGAACATATCTGTGCTTCCATCATGGTCTGAAAAAGAGAGAGAGGTAATCTATGTTTTGATATGTTCTTCGGCTTGAAAATGATATCAGATTGTGAATTTTTCTTTTGTGACAAACTATGGTTCTCACCAGTGGCAATAACTAGAGATGCTAGTGCAGACTGATGAAGATGTCATATTGACAATGAAGAGTATCAGTGTGTAACAGCATGAGATATCGTAGTGTGGCAAGCCTCTGTCGAAGATGAAAATAATCAATTTTATAAATATAGGCACAGTGAGGCAGTTAAGTGCAGCAAGTGTGAGGCAGTGTGAGGCAGTTAAGTGCAGCAAGCCTTTGCTGGAGATGACAAAAGATCAATTTAATATCTGGTGACTTGTATATTTTTTCAAATACCAATTATATTCAATTATAGATAAGTAATAGCAATGAAATCCGTAATCATCATCCTTCCACTATGTATATACTAACAGAAAATTCCACAGAAAAATTAGTCATGAATCTCAAAAGGTTGAAATTAAAACATCATGAGAAACAATTACCCCAATTCTGTCTCCATAGAAACTCAAGATTTTTGGTCTGAGCTAGGTATTTCTTAACTGAATAATGCACCCTTTGAATCAACATATTCTTCAAGCCCATCCTCTTCAAGAAATACGCCATAGTTGGAGAATGGCCAAATGGGTCAATGGCCCAGCCAGACTTGGGTTTTACCCCTACAATGAGATTTTAAGCATGGTATTTCTAGAAATAGCACAAAAAGATATGACAAAATCTGTACACTATAACTATGGAAAGTTCAACTAATTATAAAACTAAACAAAATAACATAATTGAACCTAGATTATATATTTAAAAGAAGGGATGAGGTAATAGAGGTAACAGTATAATCACGTGTATACACTGCAATCAAATATTACTTTATCTAATAATACAACCTGTTTATTTGTACAATGTTGTTACCTGTGGTTCTTGTTGTACCTTTTACAATTTGTTTGTAGTCAAAATAATGACAATTAGCATAAAAAATAAAATATATTAACATTTTTCAGACAAGGCAAATTACTTGAAGAACCATTTTATGTGTAATGCTGGTCTTCTGTTGATCTTATAAAAGCCAGAAATAAAAATTTCCACACCCACCTAGTTCATGTTCCAGCCACTGGTGACCCTCTATCATCTGGTCAATCATGGCCGAGTAGTGTGAGACCGCCTCATCATTCATTACCCAGCCACCGGTCACTATCTCAAACTGACCACTCTTCACCAAGCTACAAAATACCAGAAGTCATGAATTTCAGAGTGTAAAAGCATTAAATAATGACTGATCAATATATCAGATGTACCACGAACAAGTCACCTTTTTATTTCCGTTTTGTATCAATTCTTGCCAGGTAAATCATATTACACTAAATGTATTTGTATCTATTAGCCATTCAGCAAATGCCAATTGTGCACTTCATTAGTATGAAAATATAATGAAATGTGATGATTAACCCACAAATACAATGTGTATTAAATAATACCATAGAAGATGTTGAGAACTACCAATCCAGGCATGGTGCATCTTGCATGCAGGCATGGCACACATAATTGCCAGCTGTTAGACCATGCCTGGGACTTATGTTCTTAATATCCACTGAAGTATAATTCTGATACACCACTCATCAACAAGGTCTATGTGTTAGCCACTTCTGCTTTGCACTAATGCATATCACACACACCTCTGGGAGTATCTTCAAAATGTCTGTATCTAACAACCTCCGCTTCTGTTGGGAATTGAATCAATGACTGATAATACAGTAAGTATAAAATCATCTGTTTAGCAATATAAATGAAAGATTAACAATCATAAGCTTACCGTCTTACTCTGCCCTTCATACTTTCATCCAGTTCTTGCCACCATCTTGAGAAAAATGAAATTTCTGCATACATGAATTTTCTTGATGAGTCGGCTTCAAGTTTGGTCACCATGTTGTTCAGGATATGCCTAACTTGGTCACGGTAATAAGCTTCAAATGTTTTGATCCAACCTAAAATATTCATAATGATGTTCTAGAAAATATATGAAAATATCTACCCCTCTTGGTATGAAAGCTAGTAAATCTTACCTCGTTTTCCAAATTATTTCAATTTAAAAGTTAATTTTTTTTTCATAATGTAGCTATAATTCATTAAATATTCAAATCTTACATAAAGGTAAAGATCAAATCAAAAATTTCTACACTGTATACCCATAAATTTGCCATAATGCATAACAAATAAGTTCAATTAAAAATCACATTACTACACAAAGGTACCTTCTCTGGAATGAAAAGAAAATGTTTTATCTTGCTTAGTTAACCCTGATGTGAACTGGGCTAAAGCATACCTGGATCACAGTGAGAGTGTGGTACAAGGATGACTTTGAGTGGCTTATCTTGCCAGGTGCTGACATCGTAGGAGATAGGGAACCCCTGCTTCCACACACCTCCATTTGGATTATCAAAGGGGATATGATCAAACACATTCAACATCTGAAACAAAACCATAAAACAATAAAATTAAAATAGAATACACAGAGTACTCTTGTAACGTTCCCAGCAACATGTGGGATGGGGACTCCCCACCAAACTAGAAGTGTGTTGAATATGTAGGTGAGTTTTGACATTTTTTTTAATGTTTTCTTTGTATAGAATAACTTCTTACCTTGTTTTTTTTTTTCACCCCAATTGAGCTCTTAAAGTACGACCCAGTGGCTAAGCTACTGAATGCCCTCATTTTACAGTGCAACTATACATATCACACATTAGATACATGCCTGTAATTCTGTTACTGCTTTTTTTATTTTTAGGCATTTTTATTGCATTATTTGCTTCATGATAAACAAGAGAACTAAACACATTATGACAGAAATGATGCTGGCAACTCTTTTGTTTTGCAGTATGAACTGTAAGATTCCAGGAAATATATGAACATGAATGACGAAATAACAATATGGGTTCAATTTCCCAGGTGAAAAATTTACACATCAAACTAATGCTTAATAAGAAAAGGGGATATTAAATTAATCATTATCTTCCTTTAATTCATGTCTCACAAATCTTATGCTATTCATAAATCAATATCATATTACTTGTATCTAATTACACCTGGTTAGATTATGAAACAACTCCTGGGTTAATGATGGGCACAAAAAAGATGACTTTAAAGAGAAATGCCCACTTTTTGGGAACTGAAGAAGAATAAAATGCAATTATGCTGGCATGTTGTTATATGCATCATCATTATTATCTTTATTTGTGTGAAAAAAAATATTATTATATCTCTGACTCAACCAATATCCTTTACCTGTACATCAGTGCCAGCTGGTGGTGTTTCTGCAAAACTGCACATCCCTTCTGGAACTCGGACCACATTTCTGGAGATTGCTGTGATGTTTGGTTTTATCCTAGAAGGCACTGGTGCATCCCCATGGACTTCGATATCAAGGGCATTCTTTAGTTTTTCTAGAGCTCTACTATCTCCTTGCGCCAGCTGTCCTACCACTTCCTTTATTACATCAATTGACTTAAACATAAAATCAAAGTATTGTTTTGCTAACTGATAACATTTTATGTTAATTTTAGTACAAAAAGGAGTTTTTTTATAAATAAAATTTTTTAAAAAATCACCAGAATTCATCTTTAATATTAAGTAGGCTTCAAAAGGCACAAAATGATCTAAAATTTAAAACACATATTATGTCCAAAAAGCAGATAAAAATAATAAATATCCAAGCTTATGACTAGAAATATTCCTTACACAATTAATTGCAGCAAATTTTTTTTCAAACCACCATTCCGCCAACAAAATCAAAAATAGAAATTTATTAATTTAATACAAATAAAAAATATCCTATATTTACCTTGTGGTTTTTCTGCAGATCTGCTTCAATCTGGTGAATTTTAGAATCAATTACATCTACTTCATCCTGAAGTACATGCAGAACATCATCAAAAACTTTTCAAAGCTTGAAAGCATTTAAATTCATTTTATAATATACCTGATCTGTGCCTTGAAGACTTAGTTCTCTATTTCATAACTGAATTTTTCCTTTTCAATAATTTTACATACAGTCTTTTAAGAAATATATCAAAATGTGTATACTAATATAACTTCCATACAGCACCTATTTTTGTATTTTATGCCACTATAGTTTCCAAGCAATTAAAATGTAAAATAACAATTTGCTTAAAGGAAAACATTTGCATCAATATCAATTAGGCACCAATACCAAAATTAAAGTTGAATTAGCTTCAGCTAGCTTCATATGAAACGAGGATAGATTCCCTATAACACACATAAACAACTTTCATTGGTCGCTTCCTAGTAAATTACTAAAATAAAGTCAACATGCAAAAGAGCCAAAGAATAAACCAATTAAATCACTCAGTGAGCCAAAAAAAAAAAAAAAAAAAAAAATAGCTTTAAAACTAGACCTTCAAAATTCTGGTCAAAAACCTGACATATATTTATCTGCCCCCCCCCCCCCCCTCAAGTTCATAAAAAAAAAAACAACCCTTATGGCAACCAATGCATTTCAAAAACAGCCATTGGTTTGATGTTGAACTAACTCATGGGAAAATAGTCAATTATTGCTAATTAATGTAGCAATTGACTTTTTGTAAAGGTAATTTCTAATTCAAAATATTGCAGTCATGACAAATATGCATGGTGCCTCTGTGACTATAATTTACAGATGCATGGTGATGATTTCTATCACAGTGAATGGGATTTCACATACATAATCTTGTATCTCTAGGCAATTTACTGTGACAGATAAGCATCTACCTCTCAGTGACACCTATAAAATTAATGCTATTCTGCATGCACTAATTGGCAATCCACTCCCCTCTGCATTGCCATGGAACCCGGGCTGCCATGAATCAAATCAACTCATCTCCACGGTGCAGCCATTGGCCAGCCCCCACTTTTCCCCCCCCCCCCCCACCCCCCACCCCCCAAAACACACCTACATGTACGGTACACACCTTATCCTCCCCCCGACTTGGACCCCTCACCCACACCTCTCTCGATCTCTCTCTCACACACACACCTCATTTGTAAACACGGACTTAAGTATTATTGTTAGATGACGAAAGCTGAAAACCCATGTCAAAATGCCGTAGATTTTACCTTTCCTAGATCTGTGTATCTTGATTGATTCATGCTGGCACTTTCCATCATCAAATACAAGGAGAAACAGACTACCCCGAACATGGCAGCACCCATCAATGCCATATACTTCTTCATTGTTGGTAATTCTAATGGTCAAACTGAGATATATTGCAGATGCATCTGTTAAACTAAACCAAAATAAGGGTTTTACAGTCTAAACTATGCCAAAGAACACTAAATCGATGTGAGATGCATTGAAACAAATTTCCCTGCCACATCGATTGCGATAAACGTCACCGTTATAGCCTACTCATGGATTGATGACGTATTTCACAATACGGAGGCGGTGTTTCCCACAGGCCAGAGGTCAGAATAAAACAAGTTTGGGACAAAATGTATTTTTAAAACAAATTCTACAAAAGAAAAATCGTCAGGGGCTCTCTGGTGTTCTTCTTTACTCGCATGGAGATAGAAGACAGGTTCGTTGAATGAATCGCGTTCATTTGAATCAAAGTTGCATGTGTTTATTAACTTCAATTCCTTGTAAATATAACCAAACTTTAGAAAGAAATTTCATTTCTTCCTGCATTCGGTATTACGCTTGTCTGTAGTCCAGTGTAACGTTAATAGTTATTGTTATTGGCAAATAATGACGGATCGTTCTGCACTAAAAGCTCATCTGCAATGGCTGCCGTGAATCGCGAATGATGTGATGTCTGTTGTCGACCTGTAAACGGACAACCCTTACCACTCTGACGGCGTCTGACGGATTTACATGATTTAGAAATGTAATGTTTGAGCCAAACTGTGTTCACTTCGTTCATTTTGATGGTGACAGTCAAGATTGCTTTGCAGTGAATGGGACTTATAATAGGCATGTCCCTTTTTCATGCACAAATCTTTCATTGTACAGTTGTATAATATACATGTATATGAACGAATATGTACTGGTACTCCTACTCAGTACCTGTACTTTCGTTTGGGAATGGTGTCTATCAATTTTTTTTTACCTTAAAACTAGTTGAGGTGGATGTTGTTTGAAGAGGATGTTTTTTCTAATTTAATGCACATTGGATATACATATGTACATGCACATTAAATGAAATGCACATTGGGGTTTTCTTTTAAAATTAGAACTCTGTGATGACATTTTATTTCAGAGCGTTCTTTATTTTACCTTGAAAAGTCAGCCCCTGTTACTCTTGTTCACATTATTATATTCATTGTGCTTAAGTTTTATAGTTTCCATCCCACTTCTGGTGAGAACATCTTACTTTTTCTCCTTGCCTCTTATCTCCATTTGTTGCATCCTGATAAAAAGTGAAAGGTTTCTTGGCTTGTGACAAGCTTTGACAAATACATCCTCTTATTATTACAATATTGCCTGTTTAAATGCCACCACCAAATTGTAGCATCCATCAAACCCATCATCAATAACACTATCTCTTGCAAGTGCAGTTTTCTTATTATCTAAATGGCTTCTGCTCTGACTCTAACACTATCAGTAAATATGAAAATGGAAATAGATGTGCTAGATACAGAAAAAATTGGAACAGTGATTTAGTGCCTTCAGCTGAGTCTTTGCTTGAGGACCTCCAAAAATCTGTTTAATATCATGCATTGGCCAAGCGATTCAGATGATCTTCCCTTCATTATTTCCATTATTGTGTCACCTTGCCATGTTATCAAATCTTTAATGAAATGGAGGCTAAAGGTCTTTTCACATTGAGTGCTTTATCTCATATCTGAAGTTTTTTTTTTTTTTTTTTTTTTTTTTTGTAGCTTTGGGGGAGGGGGGTTAGGTTACAATCTCATGTAAAGGCCAGGGTTCTTGGTATGTTGATATTCTTTTAAAATATATCAGTATAACTGTATCTCTGCACTGCTGAGATTTAACACTTGATGTGAAAAGGCCTTTAATTCTTTGGCAAATTACTAGTAGTGCATTAAGGAGTACACCATTTCCAAATGCATGCTTTTTCATTAGCGTGTGGCCTGTGATAGAGTTTGGAATTGCCTGGTATTGCTCTCCACTCTCCACAGAAAGGGCAGCTAGAAGGCACCTAATTGAGCTTTTTGTTGCTTGGCACACAAGGGAATATAAGAACATTAAATGGGAGTAAGTCTGTAAGAGAGAAATTTTTCGTTCAGTTGAGAAGAACCACAACAAGTACTAGTAACAACAAAGACCACTTAACTTTTTTGTATAATATTGCTAAACAATGTCAAGGTAATAAATTACATTATGCCATGGGCCCCAAGCACCTGCTTAACTTCAAAGTCTTGGAATATATTCGTTAGCACCCTACACCAATTGTTTCTCAACAGCAAAGACATTTATTTTATGTGATAGATGACAGTTTTTAGTGGGAGTGTTTACAGCCTAGCACTTAACAAGACTGATTCCCTCCCACATTTGGACATTTATCTGTTGAATTAGTTCTCAGTCAAAAGGGAATTCTTTACTTAGTAACTGCTGTTTTTAGAATAAGTTTTATACAGAAGGCAAATACTCAGAAATCCTTTCTTTGTTCAATGATGCATTTTTAGCAAACATTAATGATTTGCTGCTGCAAAAGCAGCATTTTTCAGCAGAGAAATATTGTTTTGATCTTCTTTTAGGAAATATCATCAGAAGAAAATAACTAAGATGTCTTTTGGAGGACATCATTTTCAAGTAGCAATAAAATCTTTGTCACTGCAGCCAAGAGGTCAACAATAAAAAACAAGATGGAAGAATTTCTCAGGAGTATCATAGAGGTGAGGTTACAAGTTGTGTTTTTCCATTTGATCTTTCTCTGCTCCTTTCTTCCTTATAATCTTACTAGTACATATTTGGATAATATTTAAATATATTTAATACTGTTAAAAAGGTAAAAAAAAAGAAATGAATCTATTTCCTTTGTTTCATAAGATTTCCTAAAATTATTCTACACACATAATAAGAATGCCCTAAAGTCATATCTTTATGTTTAAATATTCTGCACAGCTACTTATATTTCCTCACAGCAGACCTTGAAAATATTAAAACCCCTCTAAGAAAAGTACATGATGTCAGTATTTTCTTCTGGTACATCAGGAAGATTGATAGCAGTCCAATTGAATTGTGATCCATTTAAAACTAAGCTATCTAATTAAAAATGATGCAAAACATCCAACCCAATTGCAAGGACAGGTAGAACAATGATTTGTGAGGGGAAATTGCTTGTTTCTCTGTCAAAATAAGGTTTCATGAATATGGATACCTTTAACTATGACAAAAAAAAAAAAAAAAAAAAAAACTCCTGCCAGAGGATAATAGTAAAGGTGCAGATAATTTGTCACCCCAAAAAAGTATAATTTAAATTGTGAAAGTTGTGGTAAGTAATGAAGAGAGTCTTTTGTGAAAGAAAATTTTTTGTATTATTTTATGACCTCTGCCATGGGGGTTATGTTTTTTGCCTTTGTTGGTTAACAGCTTAACTCAAAAATTTTTTTACAGAATTTGATAAGATTTTCAGGATAGGTCATATATGGGCTTATTTAGAAACGTTTAGGTTATGGTAGTGATCCATCAGTTTATTAATTAATTGATAATGATATGTTAGCTGCCATGGTATATGTCTTTGAGGTAAATTTGATTAAGGCATTCAAGAAAAAATGTACATAGCTATATGTTACATCATTCCTAACTCTATGGCTTTTCATGGCGATTACAGAAATGAGAGTTTCCATGTGTTTAGGGTTGATTTTGGACCTCAAATGATAAAAATAGGTAAGACTTAGGTCTATTGTGATGGAAAATTGGATATTGTTTCATGAGAATTTCTCAAGGACCACCTAAAAGATAAACCTAGTAAGCTCTGAGATAACCAATACTTTGACTTAAAAGTTTACGTAAATGAGTGGTCATAGAATAAGGTTTCCTTCAATTACCTTGCCCTTCAAATTTTACTAGAGAAAAGAGATTTCTGTTTCTGTTATTCCCAATGAGAAAACCATAAGCCTGCAACACAGTATTATATGCAGAAGATGATATTGAAGAAATTATTATTTTGATGCTCAAGTTTTTTTCCCCAAAGATTATCCAGTATCTTCTCTAACTAGCAGTTTCACCTTTAAGATCTGTCATTTTGTCATCTAACGATGCCATACTTAAGTTCATTTATATCACGGTTTCCTCTCCCTTGACAGGTAGAAGTAATGCAATCTGGCAGTGGTTCATACAGGTTCATTTACATGTCTGTTTTCCCTGATAGTGCCATGACAACAAAACTCCCGTGCTCATTATGTAGTATGCCGACAGTGACAGAACTGCGTTGCTTTTTTTTTTCACTCCAAGTAAAGCAGAACTGATAAATCAGACCATTGGAGATATCATAGGACTTGAGTTGGATTGTTGTATAGAAAACTGATACACAGATGTGGTCAGAGTACTTGAATAGGAAAGATGGCATAAAGAAGAAGTTCTTTTTATTGTGTTGGTTATAGTTCTTTTATCTTCATGTTATCACTTTAAGGGAGTGTTAGCAAGATCATAGCCAAATGAAAAAAACGCAATATGTGGAAGAAAAAGGTTAGTCATAAGAAAATTGTTGTTTGCCCAAAACATGGGCAATTATAAAAGGAAAAAAAAAAACAGAAAGAAATTTATTAGAGTAGATTGCTATCATGTCTTTAAATAGGCCAAAAAGAATTAAGTTATATCTGCTTGTCTAATAGTTGGTAGATATTTAGGTTATCAGCATTTTTTCTTGGAATGAAATGGTTACATGGAGGTCAAAGTATAGCAGAATATCTATTGGCAATTTATCTGTCACCATATTTATTTGTTTCTTTCTTTCTCTCTGTCTTCTTTATTTATTAACTTATTTAGAGACAGCCATTAATTTCACCATTTAGTAACCTGTTAAATTTGTTACTCCAACAGATTTCTTTTGAAGGCCAACTAAATAATTCTTCACTTGGTAGATCATAGATGGCAATTTATTGCAAAAATGATCAACTATTTTTTGTATCAAATCTTTATCCAAAGTTAATTATCTTCATCTTTAAAAAAATATGATTTGATGAAATTATATAAAATGAATAACTAAGAACATCCTTTCTCAGTTTTTGATTTAGCCAATACCGTATGCAGGTGTAGGCCAATGTTGCATTAATGTATTGTTTATCATTGACAATTATGAATTGATAGGTCAGAGTCTGTATTTTCTAGGGGTCAGTTGACCATCTGACCACTGTCCATGTGGTTTTAGGCAATGAAGCATGTGATCTGGACTCCACTGTAGCTGCTCTGTGCTATGCTTTCTATCTATCTAAGGCAAGTATGGATGATAGATGGTGCCAAATTAATTTGTTCTTAATGTCTTCTTGTAAACTGTGATGTATTTGCCTTGGCAATATTTGAATTGCACAACCTGTTTCGTGCTATTAGTGATCAGTGTGTTGTTGTACTCTGAAATGACGGTGGTATCCTGCCCTTATGAGAGATTCATCATATGACACAGAATATATGATACACTCAGAAATTTGCTTTGATGCTGCTTGGAACTAATAATGAATGGGAAAATTTTCACTTTTGACTTTTTAGGTTTCTGCTGGAAAAGGAATTATTCATATTCCAGTGCTCAACATTCCAAAGGATGACTTCAAATTGCGTTCAGAAATCATATATTTTCTGAAGGAAAATGGGCTGTCACAAGATATTCTGACCTTCAGAGATGACCTTGACCTCAAGAGCTTACTTGACCTGGGCAAGCTTAAGCTTACTTTAGTGGATCACAATGTTTTACCCAATAAAGATGTTGGTTTGGAGAGTGCTGTTTCTGAAGTCATAGATCATCGCAAGAGAGAAAGAGAAGAGAGTAATGGGTGAGATGCTTAGGGCGCATTCATAAACAAGTTGATTCAGAGTCTAACTGATCCACATGCGCCATCCCTGCAAGGGCACAACAATTAAATCTCAAATACACTTCCATCAATTCGTTCTTGCACTGATTTTTGACTTGTTCCCTACACCCGATTGAAGTTAAGTCAGAGATTTAATTGCTGTGCCCCTTCAGGGGCATGTGTGGGAGGCGGGGAGTCCATTAGGGGATTATGGGGCATTGCTTTCAAGTGGGTCAGCCATATTTGATCCACCGATCAGTTAGTCTGCAGATCAACTTGTTCTGAATGCTCCTTAGACTTTTGGTTCGGCAGTTAGTGAATTATATGTCTTTAAGTAAATTTTCTCCTTTTTATCAGTATAACAAATTTAATCTGTTCAGTTTGTAGTACCCAGTTTGGAAGCTCTGTGTGGTCTCTATGTTTCAAAGAATGCAAGACTAAAAATTGTTTTTTGTGACACCATTTGATTTTCACCCTTTCCCCCTTCTCCTCTTCCCAGCAATATTAAAGATTTTTGTTTGGAGAATAAAGTACGGATGCTTTAGAGTTTAGACTATAATAAATCATTCTGGGCCTTTTTCCTCTCTTGAATTTGTGTTATGGAGTTTCCTGTGAAATGCATGTACACATCGTAGAGACTGTGTTCAGGAATTAATTTTTCTTCAGTGACACTAATTGGCCTTTGTTTTGAGTTATGAACTTTGGTTTGACCTATTTTTGACTTAAATTGATCTCCAGAGAATTAATTTTAGTATCAGATATCAGTTAGAGCTTAAACCACCCCAATTAAGTTAATGCTAGTCCCTGAGGTAAAGCTAGTGTAGTATCAGGAGTATGAATATCAAAGACAGTTGGTTAACCAATACAACAATATACTTTATGTGGGAATAGCCACCACTATTTTATTGATTGGATTCCTGGTATCAGTACCTGTATTATTTAATCCTACTAATATGATCTTCTGAGATAAAGCATATTGCCTTAATTACAAGTAGATACATGGCTTTTATCTGAGTTGTCTGACAGCTGATTTTAGTTTTTAATCCAAAGATAGACATAAGTGTCCAGAAAGGGGGAATACCCCTTTTGGTCATCAATTAATTTTATTCTGTTCATGTTAGATGGTAGCTCATGAATTGTGTTTCGTTGTCATTTTGTGAATATATGCAAAGTTTATATGAAATACTTTTTTTCCTTTGGCATGTTCACACTAAGATACTGAAACTAAGATACCCTTGTTTGCATTTAAAAATAATCCTTGATAAGTATACTTCAGATCCTCAAATGTCCTTGATTGTCCTTGGATTTTTTTCTTAATGTTGCTGCACATTTCATTTCTTCTCATTATTTTAAGTCACTTGCAAAATCATACTATCTGATGCCTAAGAGAATTTTCAGGTATTTATCAGGTATGACCAGCAAAAAGAGGCATTGTAAGATATGGATATAAGTATTCAATTTCATACCAATTTAGTAAAAAAAATAGATATTCTTTTCATTTGCATATTTGTAAAATGCTTAATTAAGCCTCGGCCTAGCTGTTACAGTTAAAGAAGACAAGAAAATTCAAGTACAATGCAAAATTTACCCAGGCCAAATGAAAGAAACCAATCTGATTATTCTTGCAAATTTACCATTGATGAAAAATTACTTTCTGATAGCACAGGAATAATGATGAAAGAAGAGAAAACGGTGTATTTGTGTGGTTATGTTTCTATAATTATTTTTTTATCATTAAGTAATAGAACCTTTGTCAATGAAGTAAGTTTTATGATTCCCGTGTATTGTTTCAGGATGAGCAATATAATTATCTAGGTAATTAAGGGAAGCAATAACCACTGATATGTAGTAATATTTTTTCAGTTGTGATGTTCTGATAGAGCCAGTGGGTTCTTGCTGTACATTGATTGCAGAAAAGTTGTTGAGCGATCAAAACTTTGTTACAGATAAACTAGTCGGGAAACTACTACTGGGTGAGTTAAGCATTTAATCTATTTGTCTTATTATTATTATTATTATTATTATTATTATTATTATTATTTGTTTCATTTATTATTTTTTTCATGAACAAATAATTTTAAACAAAAATATTTTACTATTTTCTTTCTTTATTTAATTATTAGATGCAGTAAGCATAACCATGTTATTTGATAAGATCTTGTTCATGTGTATTGAAGATGCAATGTCAGAAAGTAATAAAAAATAACTGGAATATTGATGCTTTGAAGAGGATAATTTGGAAGCTTAGAATATTTGTCAATTTGATGCATGTATTGTAAAGGCAGACAATTAATTTTACTCCAGTGGTTTCATTTTGTGGAAAGAATATTAACAGCAACTTCTCACCTCTAGTGGTAATAATGTGCAAATCTGTTGCCATGGTAACATACAGGTTTAGAATCTAATGTGATAAAGACCTTATTGTTTTCACAGCTCTTGCTCTTTTTAAGTTAGGGTTTGGAACTTCCTCCCATTTTTTCTGAAAAAAAAAAAAAAGAACGTTAAGAAATGGGCTTGTTTAGTGATAAATATTAAAAAATCGAGGTGTCAGTGGCGGTTATGGCTGACCTCTGAATAGTAGCGTGTAAATCAATACAGTTTGTCTACTGTCATTATTGTTTGAAAGGAAAATGTAGTCCATGATGACAGCTTGTTTTCATTTTCATTTATCTCTTTATTTTGTTTGCAGGACTACTTTACTTTTGATCATTGAATGGAGATTGATACCTTAGATAATTGTCCTTGGCCTAGCTCATTTATTGTCCCTCTCCAGTTTTGATATAGAGTGGACTCAAGTGAACATACCTTTTGTTTTAGACAAATTATTGAAAAAAAAAATCAAATTAAATTCGAAATGTATTGTGTGACATTTTTCTAGACATACTTAGTCATCCTTAACCTTCAGAGAAACCGGTATGTGCCACCATTTTCAAAGTTATACACTGGTTAATGTATATGTAAGATTGTATTTTCAATGTGTATCTTGGACTTTATTTTATATACTTAAAGGATATTGTTAGCCTTTGCCAAATCCTTTTTACTGCCTTACATATATTCTTTTGGATAACAGAAAAATTTTCAGTGTTCAGTGACTAAATTAATTAACATTTACACACGTGTCATCTTACAGGTGATGTCATAATTGCAATATAAGTGCCATTTTATTGATACCATTTTAGTACTCCCAAAACTCTCCCAGCAAGTTTTCTTAAACCCTTTGTTCAGATTTTATCATTGATAAAGCAAAACAATGCATTTGTTTAGTGAAAATCTGTAATTAGGGGCTCATAACTCCATAACAAAAACATTTAAACAAAAATAATATCACAGGATTGTAGCCCAACTATGCCAATTTTCATAATAAAATATTATTCAGGGATGAAGTTATGCCCTATACTAATTGCTATCTCACCTCAAAATAGAAAGGTGTAAAATTGACAATTAGAGTTTTGAGTTCTGTATGTTTATAAATTGCAATGAGAAATATAAAATCTGATATTTTATATTTTCAAGGGGATTTTTATTGTTTAAAATCAGCACAAAGATAGCTGCATTATTATATAAATAGATGCAGGAAAAAACATCATTTTCTGTGTCTGGATGATAATAAAGGCTTAAAATACCCTTAAACATACAAGATCAGCCAAGTTCAAAAGCATTGTAATCTAGCTGTCTTTATTGGTTAGGGAGGGAAAACATTTGGTGTATTGATGTTGTTTTTTCAAGCTCATGTGTGCTGCACATGAAAAGAAATCTGCTGGCTTTTTTCTTCTCTCTCTCTCACTGTCTCATTTCCATTGCCAAAGCAAATTAACACAGGTTGAAAGCAGAGGTTTTGTTTATATAAACATCCGTCAGATGAAAATGCTGGCTTCACTTAATTTTTTATATATGATTGTTTGTTTTAGGTACTATTTTGCTGGATACTGTCTGTCTCTCTGAGGAAGCTGGGAGAAAAACAGTAAAAGATGAGGAAATTGTGAAGAGATTGGAAAGTCTGCTAGGAGGCGAAGCAAATAGAGAGCATCTGTATGATAGCTTACAGAAAGCCAAGTTTGATTGCTCAGGTAAGATGGCAAGAACTCATTTGTTGATAAACACACGTTGTGTTTATAATCGTGTTGTCGTTTCTATATCTGTTACGCTACCCTGCAAAAAGCATAGTCAAGAGTACTGTTGATGTGTTCAATTTAAATACAGTGATTATGCTTGGGTTGTGCTCTTTATTGCCACTCCTTACCTACCACCAGGATTATAAGTTCATGTACTTATTTGTGAATTTATGTCTGAATCAGCCTGCAGTTGCGCTCAAGTTGTGTACTTTACGGCATTGGCATTTATTTTGTACATAACTGAAAGAGGTGAAACTCTCACTATTTAAAGCATGGCAAGGGATTTCTGAATGATCGGTCTTGTCTGTTGGTTTAGGTACATATTTGACATATTTGATTGAAAATGCATTGAGTTTGGCTTATCTTACCAGAAAAGAGTTTGTGTTTGATATATCTCGTCTGCTTGTGAAGATCTTAGAAAAAGGTGCAATCAATATCTAGATTCTTTGTGTTTGAAAGTTGGTGTTATCAGATCTTTTTTCTCATTATTCTTAGGTGAAAGAGATGCCACTTGGTCATGCATGAATTTTATTTCTTTCAGCATTAAGTACAAAAGATCTGTTGAAGAAAGATCTGAAAGTCATCACATCAGATAAAGCAACTGTTGCATTCAGTTCTTTGCCAAAACATATTGAGGTAGGTAGGAAGTAGCTCAAGTGATTAAATAATCTATTTCTTGTCTATTTATTTGTTTTCTGTTGATATGGGGAAAAACATATTTAAAGGTGAGTTCAAGTTGGATAAGGCAGACGGGCAAACTGTAACAACTGGTCTAGCAGACATTTTTATTCAAAACATTGCATTTTTTTTTCACTAATTAACAAAGAAATGGTTAATTAGCAAAATAATTTGTCAAATGTTTAAGAATTACGTATATTTTATTATTGTCAGTGTAATACATTTGCTGGCATAAATTATGTTTGAAAATTGTCCTGTATCTCCCCTCTCTCTCCCTCTCTCTCCCTCTCTCTCTCTCTCTCTCTCTCTCTCTCCCCCTCTCTCTCTCTCTCTCTCTCTCTCTCACACACACACACACACACACACACACTCATCTATTTTGTTATATTTAAAAGCATATCAGAGTATTCACAATATGTACTAAAATTGTTTCCTGTGCAGCTGATCACAGATGTATTTGTGTACGTTATCAGAGTTTCCTAAGTGCTGAAGATATTGAAAGGGAAGTAGAACAGTTTGCTGTAGAGCAGAAGGCAGATGCCATTGTTTTACTTTCATTACAAGTATCAGAGGAAGCCAAAAGGCCAGAGAGGCAGGTTGCTGTGTGGTCAAGGAAGAAAGAGTTACAAGAAGAGGTGAATATTATGTCATGTCCTTATGATATGTCTTGCTATGAACAGAACTATATTGTGAGATGTTAATCTTGGTTAGCTTTTGTTATTGCTATCCTTAAATATTTATACATTATTTTGATGAATATATTTATCTGTGTTTGTTTTTGTGTGAGAGAAAGATAATTAAGTTAATTTTGCTACCGTTTTGTTACTTATCTGTTTGTATAATTATATTTCTGGTCTGTTTTTATTTTTTCTGTCTAATTTTGCTTATAATGTAAATGGGCCTTTCTAAACTTCACTTTTGTAAACAGAAAGATGTAATGGACAACTAATTTAGGTAATTAATAAATAATTAATTAACTAGAAGGGTTTGAATGTATAAAGAGAAACACTGTAGAAGTCTGAACAATTAAGGGAAACAGTCTCAAAAACATATTAACTGACTCACTGACTTAAATTATTTATTTATATATTGATATATTTATATTTCAGATTGTCCAAGAACTCTTGTCTTCAAAAGACCCTGACTTGTGTTTAAAACCCATACCATCTGTCCATCATAGCATCACTGCATTTTATCAAGGAGACATCACTGCTTCAAGGAAGAAGATATTACCATTGGTAAAGGGATATCTGGAGAGGAAACCAAATGAGGCTGTAGAAGGAAATGACAGCAGTGTCAAGGACAGCGAATCAATTGACGCATCTGACACTAGAAAGGATGACAAAAGTGACAACAGGTTATCAGACAGTGAGTTGTATTCTACATTTGAGACCTCTGAAAACAGTCTAATAGACACATCTCTGGGCACTGTGGAAGAAAGTAGGGCTCCATACAGCTGGAACACTACAGCCGCTGAGCTTTCAGGTACAAGTGAAGCACTGCTTAATTCTACAAATGATTATATGGGAGACCTTGATCCATTTTCCCCAGCACCAAAAGAGCAAGGGGATGAAGGGACTTGGAACTCAAACTTGCTGGATGGTTTTGATCCTATTCCACCACAGAATTATAGTTCAGACTCTGTAACATCTGACTTGCTAGCCCCCATTGATGGCTGTAGTGGTTCTAATATGACAGAGCAAAACCCAAGCTCAGGTCAGGGTTTAGTGGATATCGTCATTGATTCAGCAGAAAATAATCAGAATCAGATGTCAGCTGATGACAACCTTGATCTTTTCTCTCCCTTGGCTGCAACCATCGCAGTAGCCAATGGTCAATTAGATGATTTGGCAACATTGTCCAGTATGGGTGACAGTGGCGAATTGAATCAGGGTCAACTGGACACCAGTCAGCCCAGTTCCAGAGGAGACACTGGACCTTTGACACCGGTCAATAGTTTTGTGGATTCAAATTTTGACTCTTATGCCAAGCAGGAGCTTTTACCCACCTTCAACAACTCGGAGGTTGTTGCTAGGATCCGTGAGAAGAGATCCATCATGGGGGATACTGTAGATGAGGAAGGGGTCTCAGAGGAGGCAGAAAGATATCCGTTCACACCACAAAACAGTGTGCAGGATCTCAATTTTGATGGATACGCAAAACAGCACAATCTTCCAAGCTTCAACAGTTCGGAGATGGTCTCAAAAATTTATAAGAAAAAGAAAGAACTGGAATTCAGTACTGATGAATATCCAGTCAACAAGAATGTGGAATCGGTTTCTGCCTATCCTTTCACACCACAGAACAGCATGCAGGACATGCAGTTTGCACAGTATGCTCAAGCAAACAATCTATCTGATTGGCAAGCATCTGATTTGATGGGGAGAATAGAAGAGAAGAGGGCAAGCCTGGGGAATGTGCTTGAGGATGGGGAGGAGGAGGAAGAGGGGGAAGAAGGAGCCGTGGGTGATGAAGAGGACAATCATATCACAGGCATTAGTACACCATTGTTTGAGTTGGAGAAAGATGATGATTTTGCCGTTGATGTCAGTTTAGTAGATATTCAAAAGTCCATTGAACCTATGCAGGAAGACATTGATACCAGCGTGTTAGCTGGAAAAAGTGGTGCTTGTTTTGACCAGACTTCAACTGATTTGTTTGAAAAAGACGGTGATGAAGTTGGTCAGCCATCTTTGGCTGAGGTTGCAGATGACATTGCTCAGAAAAAGAAGGGTGCTGCAGAAGAAGAAAGTCAAGAAACCACAAGCCAAATGGCAATACAGGATAGCGAAAATAATGTCTATTTTGGTGAAGACATCCAAGATGTTGCCCACAAGTATGCTCAAGAAATCATAAATAAAGCTCTTGATGTGTACAGTGTATCTGTAGAGGACATGTTAAAGTTTGAAGAAATGGAAAGTTCAGCATCACAGTCACCTGACGGTGGACATACAGATGAAACCTCCAAAATACCAAAACCAAATGAGGACGAACAAAGTCCTGAGGACTCTTCTCTGAAAGATATCATTTTGGCTGCCATGTTGGAGAAAGACAGTGGTGAGGAGAATGAAAAATTTGGTGCTGAGACTCCCGTGGAGACGGAATACCTGCCGCTTGTGGATCCTCTCCATGGGAACCTAGACTTGGTGCCTAATCCCAAGAAGGATTTCTCCACAGATGCTGAAAAGGATGTTCCGGAGAATACTAGTTTTAATCAAATGACAGAAGAAGAAGAAAAAGAAGAGATGCAAAGTCATAAAAAAGAGAAACCACAAGAAAAGGATGAAGAAAATGAAGATGCTGGAGATGCTGAGGCAGACTCGGAAAGAGTTGTGACAGTGGACAATCAGGAGGTAAAAGAGTGTGTTCTGGAATCAGGACAAGGTGACAGTGCAGAGAAAGTGGATTTTGCTGGCATTGTTGAAGTGTATCCCAAAACTAGAAGTTTGTCGGACTCTGGAAAAGATACAAATGACACTGTCTCCAACCCTGCAAGTGAATTGACTAATGTAGATAAAGATGCTAGTGTAATGACTGAGGAAAAGAGTGACAAGGATTTGGACACTAAAGGCACAGGAGGTTTAATGTCACCAGAAGTGGAGGCCAATGTGACGAGCACACAGGTCAAGTTCACTGCACCTGGAAAAAAGGATTCTCTGACTGAAAGTATTGGAAGAGATAGGTAAATCTTTTAATTTTTTTACAAATTTTTGTTCCACTAGTATTGTACAGACCTATTATATAATTATTCATGTGAAATTTTACTTAACATCAAACAAATTGGAGGGTGAATAAAAAGAATGCATCTTTCAATTTTGATTTCTCAAAAATTGCCCACTATAACTTAACCAATTTGGCTATTCACCTAATCTTTTTAATTTGACATAATTGGTATTGAATAAGAATTGGACAGTCTGACTTATAATCATTTTGCCACTCAATCTAATGCAGTAGTGTAAGACATGTTAGGTCTCTGAAATGTCTTCTGATTTTTCATACTTTACATTGAATGTATAAGTTCTGACCATGTAGTCAATTGCGAGGTAAGTTGAAGGGTTATAGAAAAAAGGAACAATATATGTTATTATTGTGGGGATTTAGCCAGATTTTTAAAGATATTATGCATTCCCTATACTTTAGTTGATCTTGATACCTTGATCAATATTGCAGACAATTTTATCAGATTACTAAAAAAAATGGCAACAGTTTGGAACAAAAGTATAGATCTGGGCCTTAGACTTGCATATATAATATGTAATTTGTATTCCCTAGGACTAGCAGCTCCACTTTCCAGCAAGAGGAACAGAAAATGTATGTCAATCAGCAGATGGAAAGAGCTAAGAGTGTTCTGGAAAGAGCAGACATGTTGATAGCAAATGTCAATAAGAATATTGAAGAGGTCTTAGAGGCAGAGGGTTTAAGTCCAGAAGAGGTAATTCCAACCAAAAGGCAGTGTATCTATACTTACATATAATAGATAGAAGATAAAGCTATCTATCACAAAAATTTATTCAGTTTTTGAGCCAAAGATTTAAATTGTTTGTGAAATACACTTACTTTGCTGTATTTTATCTGGCTTTATTTTTTAAATTAATTAAAGTATGAATACCATTGACAAAATGTAGATATAACTGTGTTTTATGTCATTGTTTTTGTTTTTCTTGATATTTTCTAATTAGAAACAGATGTATTATGTGAAAGATGTTATAAGAATGAATCCTTTTATTAATAATGAATCAAAAATGACCGGTAGCATGATATAAAGACTCTCAAAAATTTTTTTTCATATCTTTCAGCTTGAAAGAAAACTTGCAGGACAGTCAAGTTTAGCCCCTGCTTCATCAGAGGAACGGATACCTGCAGATATTGCCATGGCAACAGGTCTGTCACCAGAAAACTCAGATGAAGAAGTTGAAACAGGTGTGACACTTTTATTTGGCTTTCANTAGTAGATATTCAAAAGTCCATTGAACCTATGCAGGAAGACGTTGATACCAGCGCGTTAGCTGGAAAAAATGGTGCTTGTTTTGACCGGACTTCAACTGATTTGTTTGAAAAAGATGGTGATGAAGTTTGTCAGCCATCTTTGGCTGAGGATGCAGATGACATTGCTCAGAAAAAGAAGGGTGCTGCAGAAGAAGAAAGTCAAGAAACCACAAACCAAATGGCAATACAGGATAGCGAAAATAATGTCTATTTTGGTGAAGACATCCAAGATGTTGCCCACAAGTATGCTCAAGAAATCATAAATAAAGCTCTTGATGTGTACAGTGTATCTGTGGAGGACATGTTAAAGTTTGAAGAAATGGAAAGTTCAGCATCACAGTCACCTGACGGTGGACATACAGATGAAACCTCCAAAACACCAAAACCAAACAAGGACGAACAAAGTCCTGAGGACTCTTCTCTGAAAGATATAATTTTGGCTGCCATGTTGGAGAAAGACAGTGGTGAGGAGAATGAAAAATTTGGTGCTGAGACTCCCGTGGAGACGGAATACCTGCCGCTTGTGGATCCTCTCCATGGGAACCTAGCATTGGTGCCTAATCCCAAGAAGGATTTCTCCACAGATGCTGAAAAGGATGTTCCGGAGAATACTAGTTTTAATCAAATGACAGAAGAAGAAGAAAAAGAAGAGATGCAAAGTCATAAAAAAGAGAAACCACAAGAAAAGGATGAAGAAAATGAAGATGCTGGAGATGCTGAGGCAGACTCGGAAAGAGTTGTGACAGTGGACAATCAGGAGGTAAAAGAGTGTGTTCTGGAATCAGGACAAGGTGACAGTGCAGAGAAAGTGGATTTTGCTGGCATTGTTGAAGTGTATCCCAAAGCTAGAAGTTTGTCAGACTCTGTAAAAGATACAAATGACACTGTCTCCAACCCTGCAAGTGAATTGACTAATGTAGATAAGGATGCTAGTGTAATGACTGAGGAAAAGAATGACAAGGATTTGGACACTAAAGGCACAGGAGGTTTAATGTCACCAGAAGTGGAGGCCAATGTGACGAGTACACAGGTCAAGTTCACTGCACCTGGAAAAAAGGATTCTCTGACTGAAAGTATTGGAAGAGATAGGTAAATCTTTTAATTTTTTTACAAATTTTTGTTGCACTAGTATTGTACAGACCTATTATATAATTATTCATGTGAAATTTTACTAAACATCAAACAAATTGGAGGGTGAATAAAAAGAATGCATCTTTCAATTTTGATTTCTCAAAAATTGCCCACTATAACTTAACCAATTTGGCTATTCACGGTCACCTAATCTTTTTAATTTGACATAATTGGTATTGAATAAGAATTGGACAGTCTGACTTATAATCATTTTGCCACTCAATCTAATGCAGTAGTGTAAGACATGTTAGGTCTCTGAAATGTCTTCTGATTTTTCATACTTTACATTGAATGTATAAGTTCTGACCATGTAGTCAATTGCGAGGTAAGTTGAAGGGTTATAGAAAAAAGGAACAATATATGTTATTATTGTGGGGATTTAGCCAGATTTTTAAAGATATTATGCATTCCCTATACTTTAGTTGATCTTGATACCTTGATCAATATTGCAGACAATTTTATCAGATTACTAAAAAAAATGGCAACAGTTTGGAACAAAAGTATAGATCTGGGGCTTAGACTTGCATATATAATATGTAATTTGTATTCCCTAGGACTAGCAGCTCCACTTCCCAGCAAGAGGAACAGAAAATGTATGTCAATCAGCAGATGGAAAGAGCTAAGAGTGTTCTGGAAAGAGCAGACATGTTGATAGCAAATGTCAATAAGAATATTGAAGAGGTCTTAGAGGCAGAGGGTTTAAGTCCAGAAGAGGTAATTCCAACCAAAAGGCAGTGTATATATACTTACATATAATAGATAGAAGATAAAGCTATCTATCACAAAAATTTATTCAGTTTTTGAGCCAAAGATTTAAATTGTTTGTGAAATACACTTACTTTGCTGTATTTTATCTGGCTTTATTTTTTAAATTAATTAAAGTATGAATACCATGGACAAAATGTAGATATAACTGTGTTTTATGTCATTGTTTTTGTTTTTCTTGATATTTTCTAATTAGAAACAGATGTATTATGTGAAAGATGTTATAAGAATGAATCCTTTTATTATTAATGAATCAAAAATGACCGGTAGCATGATATAAAAACTCTCAAAAATTTTTTTCATATCTTTCAGCTTGAAAGAAAACTTGCCGGACAGTCAAGTTTAGCCCCTGCTTCATCAGAGGAACGGATACCTGCAGATATTGCCATGGCAACAGGTCTGTCACCAGAAAACTCAGATGAAGAAGTTGAAACAGGTGTGACACTTTTATTTGGCTTTCATTTTATTTAGGATAAGAAATTAGAATCACTACAGTATTGAAACAGCAATTTTGATTAAGCAATTATAAAAAGTTTTAATTTTTCACTTATGTAGAATTAATGACAAAAATTCCTTCCTTAAATCATTGCTTTTAAAATTCAAAATTGAATCTGAATAATCAATAATGAATGTTGAAGGGCTTGCAGTCCATGACTTACAGCTTTGTTTCAAGGCTCACAAGCTTTTCCAATTTTATGGATGGACATATAGCATCACCTGTATCTGTTGTTCATCTCCATGAGCTTTCCTCATTTTAACTTTATAGATACTGATCTGTGTTTTCTCAGTTTTGCTATGTAACAATCAGCACTGTCAATAAATATACAACTTCTGTCAGTGAATTTAAATTGTTTGTAAAACAGTACCAATATCAATCTTGTCACCCTAGCCATGCGACCTAACAGTCTAGACACAAGAGGTGGAGCAATACCTAAGAGGAGAATCCACGTCAATGTAGACATGCTAAGCAAAGACTCCATGTCCCGTAGCGAGAGTGAGGATGATCTGCTGGCAAATATTGATGGAGAGAAGACTCCTGATGATCTGAATACACCAGACTTGCTGGAGGGCAGTGCCCTGGGAGAGATGGAGTGGGAGAGTGAGTGGAGTTTTTGTACATAAGCTGTTCCAAGATGCACTCTTTCTTTTACTGCCCATTCATCATACATTTTGTTTTGATTTAGATGTTTCTTAACATACATGCAAGTCTTATCATGTTAAGTCATAGAAAATAACAAATAATGTGGCATTAAAAAATGTTCTAAAAACAAAAATATTTCAGTAACAGGCAGTCAGAGAGTGAGTACGTTTTTGGGACACCGTGTGTGTGTGTGTGTGTGTGTGTGTGTGTGTGTGTGTGTGTGTGTGTGTGTGTGTGTGTGTGTGTGTTAAACCTTTGAGACAAAGTAGTTTTTTTTTTTCCTCACAATTCTCTACAACATATATTTCATAAGTCAGTAATAATAGTTATTAAAAATGTAAAATATGTTGTATACTAAAGGTTTTTGCAACAAGAGGCATCTCATATTGAAAACTTTATATTCAGGCGAGAAGCCAGAGCCTATCCCTGAGTTGACTGCGGAGGAGGAGCTAGAGGATGACTGGAGTTGGAGGTCTGTCACCATAGGAGACAAGAAGTACAAAATTGACATGAAGGTCATAGATCCTTACAAGAAGGTGCTCTCACATGGGGGTGAGTTGCTGAATTGATTACAATACATAATCTTTCTCTCTCTTTCTCTCTCTTTTGTTTTTTTGCTTGTTATACTGCTAAGGGTGGAAATGTACCCCTTGTGCTGCCCTACAGTTCTGCCATTTGACCAAACATTGGCAAAAGAAATTAATCCCCTACCTAATAGTATTTCTTTGTAGTTCATGTTATCATGTTATTGGTTAAAAGATAGTTTGATAATGTAACCAGTATAATTTGTGTGTTATAATGAATCCTTTGTGGTTTTTAGGTTACTACGGAGATGGTTTTAATGCAATCATAATATTTGCTGCATGCTTTTTACCAGACAGGAGTAGAAAAGACTACAGCTATGTGATGGACAACCTGTTTTTGTAAGTTGAAAATACAAAGAGATGGTTTTAATAAAATCATAATATCTGCTTGCTTTTTACCAGACAGGAGTAGAAAAGACTACAGCAATGTGATAGACAACCTGTTTTTGTAAGTTAAAAATGCAACTCCTGAGTAAATAATATTTTCCTTTTAAGAGTACTACTGGTAATAATTTCATGATCTGGTTGTCATTATGTTGACCTTTAACCAGATTTTACAATTTAACTAACTGATTTTAATTGATCAAATTGAGGTTTGGTAATAAAGGCATTTGAAGAAGGCAGGCAGGTGCTGCTGAGAGCCCATGTGAGCTAAATTTTGGTGCAGTCTGATCTGGTTTTAGTGATCTCCTAATAAAAACCATTTGTTCTTCATTGTCGATTGCTTTTATTTAATTCTACCCGAAGACTTTTTGAGGCCAAATGTTTCCATTTAATTGGTTTTAGGCCATAGATGTCATGTAATTTTACCATAATGGAGTTTGAAGGACATGGACATTTTCATTTGATTACAAGTTAACCAATAGCAAATGGGGTTACATAATGGATTTTTTTTATGATAGTACTTCTACTTTTAGGTACGTTGTCAGTACTTTGGAACTCCTGGTAGCAGAGGATTACATGATAGTGTACTTCCATGGTGCTACCCCTAAAAATAGAATGCCAAGTCTGGGCTGGTTGAAGAGATGCTATCAGATGATTGATAGAAGGTATAAGTGTTACTGTCTCTAAGCAAATTCCAGATGTGGATCTCATTTTTGACTTAGAATTTCTCTCATTCTGTATGTTTCCCAGGATCACGTTTCACAAAAATATTGTCTTTAACTGACTACGCTCAGATACAACTTGGTTTAAGTGAACCAGATTAAATGCAGCTGCAGGCAGTTAGACATATTTCAAAAAGAATGTAATTTTTCAGTGTACCAAAGTTTATGAGACTAAATTTCCAGGCTATCTGCTTAAATTTTTGACAGAAAAAAATGGCTAAGCGTCCTGTAAATTTCTTTGTGGAACAACTAAGCCAGCTGAATCTTTAGTATTAGCTAAAATTTTAGTTCAAACTGACTTAAGTCTTTTTGTAAAATGGGATCTAGGTATTATTGTATTTTGGATTGCATGAAGTTTATATTCATGAGTAATGGATCAACTTATATGATGTCAGCAGCAATGTTTCTTACTTGACATGATTTAATATAATGGCAGTTATTCTTCAATCATATACTGTTCAATGACTTTTGACTTATATATATTCTCTCCAGTTTTCCTTTTTTTGTGAATTTAATTTAATGAATCTATTTACATGATGAAAACATGAAATGCATTGGTTAATAGATAGATTGATTGTGTTTTAGGCTAAGGAAGAACCTGAAGAAACTATTGCTGGTACACCCAACTTTGTGGTTAAGGACTGTGGTGTTCTTAACTAAACCTTTTATCAGGTATTTACCATAAACTGAAAACTTGTAGTAGTTTGGGCTGTATGAAAGTGTCTGTAAATTGAAAAAAAATTGGTTAATAATCTGACATAATCATAAAGGCAAACTTTAATGTGTTTTCAACTTTAAAATGAATAGTTAAAATATTAACTGGAAAGATTTAACTTATTTCACTTCAGATGAAGCATTAGGAAATGTGTAGTTTTTGGGCCTTATAATATGTTAATTCCCAGGATAAAAAGATTAAAGTTACAGTTTTCAAATTTCTCTTTATTTAATGTTTATTATTAGTTTCTAGTAAAAAACACTTTGGCTTCATTGTTTGAGGATAACAGCTATTATTTTTATGTACAGACACAGATGTGTCTGTACATATTGCCATCACCTGCGTCTGTCGTCGCCGTCGCCGATCATGTCGCCGTCGCCGTGTACTTTCAGCGTTAACACCATNCTAGTTTGATAATGTAACCAGTATAATTTGTGTATTATAATGAATCCTTTGTGGTTTTTAGGTTACTACGGAGATGGTTTTAATGCAATCATAATATTTGCTGCATGCTTTTTACCAGACAGGAGTAGAAAAGATTACAGCTATGTGATGGACAACCTGTTTTTGTAAGTTAAAAATACAACTCCTGAGTAAATAATATTTTCCTTTAAAGAGTACTACTGGTAATAATTTCATGATCTGGCCGTCATTCTGTTGAACTTAAACCAGATTTTACAATTTAACTAACCAATTTAATTGATCAAATTACGATATGGTTATAAAAGTATTTGAAGAAGGCAGACAGGTGCTGCTGACAGCTCCATGTGAGCTAAATTTCGGTGCAGTCTGATCTGGTTTGACTTTTCTCTTAATATAAACCATTTGTTTGTCACTGTCGATTACTTTTATTGAATTCTACCTGAAGACTTTTTGAGGCCAAATGTTTTCATTTAATTGGTTTTAGGTCATAGATGTCTTGTAATTTTACCATAATGGACTTTGAAGGACATGGAAATTTTCATTTGATTACAAGTTAACCAATAGCAAATGGGGTTACATAATGGATTTTTTTGATGATAGTACTTCTACTTTTAGGTACGTTGTCAGTACTTTGGAACTCCTGGTAGCAGAGGATTACATGATAGTGTACTTCCATGGTGCTACCCCTAAAAATAGAATGCCAAGTCTGGGCTGGTTGAAGAGATGCTATCAGATGATTGATAGAAGGTACAAGTGTTGCTGTCTCTAAGCAAATTCCAGATGTGGATCTCATTTTTGACTTAGAATTTCTCTCATTCTGTATGTTTCCCAGGATCACGTTTCACAAAAATATTGTCTTTAACTGACTACGCTCAGATACAACTTGGTTTAAGTAAACCAGATTAAATGCAGCTGCAGGCAGTTAGACATATTTCAAAAAAAATGTAATTTTTCAGTGTACCAAAGTTTATGAGACTAAATTTCCAGGCTATCTGCTTAAATTTTTGACAGAAAAAAATGGCTAAGCATCCTGTAAATTTCTTTCTGGAACAACTAAGCCAGCTGAATCTTTAGTATTAGCTAAAATTTTAGTTCAAACTGACTTAAGTCTTTTTGTAAAATGGGATCTAGGTATTACTTGACATGATTTAATATAATGGCAGTTATTCTTCAATCATATACTGTTCAATGACTTTTGACTTATATATATTCTCTCCAGTTTTCCTTTTTTTGTGAATTTAATGTAATGAATCTATTTACATGATGAAAACATGAAATGCATTGGTTAATAGATAGATTGATTGTGTTTTAGGCTAAGGAAGAACCTGAAGAAACTATTGCTGGTACACCCAACTTTGTGGTTAAGGACTGTGGTGTTCTTAACTAAACCTTTTATCAGGTATTTACCATAAACTGTAAACTTGTAGTAGTTTGGGCTGTATGAAAGTGTCTGTTAATTGAAAAAAAAATTGGTTAATAATCTGACATAATCATAAAGGCAAACTTTAATGTGTATTCAACTTTAAAATGAATAGTTAAAATATTAACTGGAAAGATTTAACTTATTTCACTTCAGATGAAGCATTAGGAAATGTGTTGTTTTTGGGCCTTATAATACGTTAATTCCCAGGATAAAAAGGTTCAAGTTACAATTTTCAAATTTCTCTTTATGTAATGTTTATTATTAGTTTCTAGTAAAAAACACTTTGGCTTCATTGTTTGAGGATAACAACTATTATTTTTTCAAGAAGTGTTATCCTCCTAGCATTTTATTGTCTAGTAAAAGTATTTAACAATTTTATTTCAGCTCCAAGTTTTATGCAAAGTTGCAGTATATTCACACCATCAGTGACCTTTCTAAGCATATTCCAATGGAGTATGTACATATCCCAGAGCAAATTGTGAAGTATGTTTTAACTTTTTACCAACTTTTTACTGTTTTGCTTTGGAACAGATATCACTTTAAGTTGATGTTTGGAGATAATTCCTAATTTTCTCACAGGTACATGGGGGAAGGGCTTGTTTTATCTGACAGGTAAATTGACTCACAAGTTCAAATACTTTTCAGTAAAACTGATTGTTCTCTGATTGAAAAGATGAGATATAAAATTTGAATCTTATCTTGCTTTTACATGTATGTATTTATTTCCTTATTTTTAGAAGTGTGAATGTATCTTCATTTGATATCCTTATTTTTGAAATATACCTTTCTTTTCTTAGCCAAGTACATCAACTTTAAGGACAAAGGCTTCTTTCAGTATTCCTTTTTTCTGTCAAATTATATTAGATATCCATTTGGTTCCTTAATTTTGCAAGGTATGATCAAAGATATCACCCTCGGTCTCAAACATGTCAACAACCTGTGAGTACAGGTAAAAATCTCTAGTGATATGGTCCACTGTGAGTCTTGTTGCTTCATATGTACAGGCAGGGGCTGGCTTTGTGTCGTGTCAGCATGCCCATAGGCATCTACATGTCCTATCACATGTCCGTGTTATGCTACAGCAGTAAAATGAATCTGATTTGACCTACTAGTCATCAATCCTAACTGTGTACAGCATAAATATTCAGTGTATTACTGTGCTGAGTGCACCATTAATTACAATAAAGATTGATGACATTAAATGAAGCAAATCAGATTTGTTTAAGGAAACCAAAATGTAAATGGGGACAACTATCTTTTTCAATTTTTTCAATGGGCATTAATTATAAGCATCACATTCCTATGCAGTAGGTGCAAAAGGAGCTTTTTAGGTTGCTGGTCTTGAATAAGGAGAAATAATTCCTCTTATGATGTCCTCATTATTCAGAACTCCAAGGACAATTGTAAACTAGTCACTGTTGTCAGTCTGTAGAGTAGATTGTGTCTGTGTAATAGGAAATGGAGTATCACAGCTTCATTGGTATAAATGTTGTTTGATCGTAAAGACTAAAGCTTCATGCACATTATGAAGTAGCAGGGTTTATTAGGGTGCCACTTAGTTTTGATGAAATAAGTCCTATGCACTGTTGTTAATATGCAAAAAATACAGAACGTTTTTGACTTACGATTTAAGATCCATTTGTCACGGTGTAAAAGCAGTGCTGTAAAACAGTTATTAATGTAATTCTTTTGATGTTAGTAGAGAGATTAATGCCTGCAAGAAAGAGTAATCAGTAAAATGGTTTATTTGTGTTCTAATGCTTGTTATTGCTTTATTTATTTTGGATACCTAGGAAATTTCAAATCAATAATTCTTTGTGGAAATGTAACAATAAATTTAAAGATTGACAGATTATCTACAGATGGTGCACAGAACCTGCTTGCAGTTAATGCATGTAAAGTAAACCACAATTTATGGACACTTGTCCTTTTTTTTCAGGGTTGACAAGGTACTAGCTGCAAAGAAGCAGACAAGAAAATGATCTTTCTGGTCCCAGTGACTTCCCAAGACTAAAGCTTCCACTTTTAGTTGTATTGCAACCTCAGTCCCTAGTCAAGGTGAACAGACATATACTGCATTATTGGATATTTTTACCACAGATGTTAATTGGTGACAATGTTTATATAAATATGATATACAGAGATCCCGTCAATAATCTTGACTTTTTTGTTATATGATACCTATTGTGTAATTTTTTATTACAAGATGGTATACTCTTCCATATAAAGAATGAAAGGCTGTTACAGTTACACTTGTGCATTTTGATAGATCCACTTTGCTTCGAACATTCACTGTATATTTTTTAGAAATCTAAAAAGTTAAGGGCTACATTAAAAATGTTATATTATTTCAACATTTATAATACATGTTGATAAATAAAGTTTGTTAATGAATAATAGGAAACTGTTAGCTTCTTGGTTGTGCAACCGACTTGTGGTTAAAAGTAGCTCATGCCAGTGTAGAATGTGAACAAGAGGTATTTAAAAGAAATACAAATTGATTACCAGAAGTTTATTTGATTCAAGAATTGGTTTAAAAATGCTTTTAAATTGTGTTATTATCAGTCACTGACAGCTACGGCATGTATTTGGTTATTATAATTGTTGTTGTTGTTATTATTATTATTATTATTCATTCAAATAGTCCTTAATATTCACTCCAGATTTTTCCACATTTTGTTTCATAAACTGTGTTTTGGAAAAGTAACCTGAATTTGCTTTATCTAAAAAACTTGGAAGTAAAACATTGTTACCTAATTGTCGTCATTAATATAGCATTTGTTTGAATTTAAGTATATATGTAAGTTTCATTCATGGACTGCCATTGAAATGGAATATTCAAACAAAATGGTATCATTTTATTTTTTATATTAGTGGCATTAATCATTGTTTAATTTCAAGATGAAAATATTAAACATGAAAGAAATAAAGGTCAGTTAAATTTTTTTGCTAGTTTTTATTTCATAACACGCAAGGTTAAGTCCCTTATATTATACGGTAATGAGATTTTTTACTACTTCTATTTACTTTTTCTGACTTTTTGAGAGCCAAAAATATCATTTTTGAGATCAATGTAGAGGGATCTCACACCATGTTTTCAGACTTTTCACTAAATGGCAGTCTAGCCTGGCTGTGAAATGCAACAGACTGAGGAGCCAGTTTCTCAAAAGGTTGTTGGCCAAAAGCTGGCCTTGTCTTTCAAGTTTGCAACTTTTTTCCTCTCAGGCAACCAAATCAGTTGTCCGACAATGCCACCGATTCCATTTCATGTTTTTCATTAATTGTATGGTTTACTGTGTACCTTTTGGCAAATGTTTATAGTAGTTGTGCTATAAGATAGCAATTACATATTTATATACTACATTTTCTGTAATCTCATCAGTATCAGTTAGAGCATGAAAAGTTTTTNGTCTGTACATTTGACAGCTTTGCTGCCCCTGTTTCAAGAAGTGTTATCCTCCTAGCATTTTAATGTCTAGTAAAAGTATTGTTTAACAATCTTATTTCAGCTCCAAGTTTTATGCAAAGCTGCAGTATATCCACACCATCAGTGACCTTTCCAAGCATATTCCAATGGAGTATGTACATATCCCAGAGCAAATTGTGAAGTATGTTTTAACTTTTTACCAACTTTTTACTGTTTTGCTTTGGAACAGATATTACTTTAAGTTGAGAGATAATTCCTAATTTTCTCACAGGTACATGGGGGAAGGGCTTGTTTTATCTGACAGGTAAATTGACTCACAAGTTCAAATGCTTTTCAGTAAAACTTATTGTTCTCTGATTGAAAAGATGCAATGTAAAATTTGAATCTTATCTTTCTTCTGTGTATTTATTTCCTTATTTTTAGAAGTGTGAATGTATCTTCATTTGATATCCTTATTTTTGAAATATACCTTTCTTTTCTTAGCCAAGTACATCAACTTTAAGGACAAAGGCTTCTTTCAGTATTCCTTTTTTTCTGTCAAATTATATTAGATTTCCATTTGGTTCCTTAATTTTGCAAGGTATGATCAAAGATATCACCCTCGGTCTCAAACATGTCAACAACCTGTGAGTACAGGTAAAAATCTCTAGTGATATGGTCCACTGTGAGTCTTGTTGCTTCATATGTACAGGCAGGTGCTGGCTTTGTGTCGTGTCAGCATGCCCATAGGCATCTACATGTCATATCACATGTCCGTGTTATGCTACAGCAGTAAAATGAATCTGATTTGACCTACTAGTATGTTAAGTCATCAATCCTAACTGGTATTTACCAAACTGTGTACAGCATAAATCTTTGAGCAGATTCTCTGTTCTTGAGTTGCAGTCAAATATTGAGTGTATTACTGTGCTGAGTGCACCATTAATTACAATAAAGATTGATGACATTAAATGAAGCAAATCAGATTTGTTTAAGGAAACCAAAATGTAAATGGGGACAACTATCTTTTTCAATTTTTTCAATGTGCATTAATTATAAGCATCACATTCCTATGCAGTAGGTGCAAAAGGAGCTTTTTAGGTTGCTGGTCTTGAATAAGGAGAATTATTTTCTCTTATGATGTCCTCATTATTCAGAACTCCAAGGACAGTTGTAAACTAGTCACTGTTGTCAGTCTGTAGAGTAGATTGTGTCTGTGTAATAGGAGATGGAGTATCACAGCTTCATTGGTATAAATGGTGTTTGATCGTAAAGACTTCAGCTTTATGCACATTATGAAGTAGCAGGGTTTATTAGGCTGCCACTTAGTTTTGATGAAATAAGTCCTATGCACTGTTGTTAATATGCAAAAAATACAGAATGTTTTTGACTTACGATTTAAGATCCATTTGTCACAGTGTGAAAGCAGTGCTGTAAAACAGTTATTAATGTAATTCTTCTGATGTTAGTAGAGAGATTAATGCCTGCAAGAAAGAGTAATCAGTAAAATGGTTTATTTGTGTTCTAATGCTTGTTATTGCTTTATTTATCTTGGATACCTAGGAAATTTCAAATATGTGGAAATGTAACAATAAATTCAAAGATTGACAGATTATCTACAGATGGTGCACCGAACATGCTTGCAGTTAATGCATGTAAAGAAAACCACAATTCATGGACACTTGTCTTTTTTTTTCAGGGTTGACAAGGTACTAGCTGCAAAGAAGCAGACAAGAAAATGATCTTTCTGGTTCAAGTGACTTCCCAAGACTAAAGCTTCCACTATTAGTTGTATTGCAACCTCAGTCCCTAGTCAAGGTGAACAGACATATACTGCATTATTGGATATTTTTACCACAGACGTTAATTGGTGACAACATTTATATAAATATGATATACAGAGATTCCGTCAGTAATCTTGACTTTTTTGTTATATGATACCCATTGTGTAATCTTTTATTACAAGATAGTATGCTCTTCTGTGTAAAGAATAAAAGGCTGTTACAGTTACACTTGTGCATTTTGATAGATCCACTTTGCTTCGAACATTCACTGTATAATGTTTTATTTTTTAGAAATTAAAAAAAGTTAAGGGCTACATTAAAAATGTTATATTATTTCAACATTTATAATACATGTTGATAAATAAAGTTTATTAATGAATAATAGGAAACTGTTAGCTTCTTGGTTGTGCAACCGACTTGTGGTTAAAAGTAGCTCATGCCAGTGTAGAATGTGAACAAAAGAGGTATTTAAAAGAAATACAAATTGAGTACCAGAAGTTTATTTGATTCAAGAATTGGTTTAAAAATGCTTTTAAATTGTGTTATTATCAGTCACTGACAGCTACGACATGTATTTGGTTATTATAATTGTTGTTGTTGTTATTATTATTATTATTATTATTATTATTATTATTATTATTATTCATTCATTCAAATAGTCCTTAATATTCACTCCAGGTTTTTCCACATTTTGTTTCATAAACTGTGTTTTGGAAAAGTAACCTGAATTTGCTTTATCTAAAAAACTTGGAAGTAAAACATTGTTACCTAATTGTTGTCATTAATATAGCCTATGTTTGAATTTAAGGACATATGTAAGTTTCATTCATGGACTGCTGTTGAAATGGAATATTCAAACAAAATGGTATCATTTTATTTTTTATATTAGTGGCATTAATCATTGTTTAATTTCAAGATGAAAATATTAAACATGAAAGAAATAAAGGTCAGTTAAATTTTTTTGCTAGTTTTCATTTCATAACACACAAGGTTAAGTCCCTTATATTATACGGTAATGAGATTTTTTTACTACTTCTATTTACTATTTCTGACTTTTTGAGAGCCAAAAATATCATTTTTGAGATCAATGTAAAGGGATCTCACACCATGTTTTCAGACTTTTTCACTAAATGGCAGTCTAGCCTGGCTGTGAAATGCAACAGACTGAGGAGCCAGTTTCTCAAAAGGTTGTTGGCCAAAAGCTGGCCTTGTCTTTCAAGTTTGCAACTTTTTTTCCTCTCAGGCAACCAAATCAGTTGTCCGACAATGCCACCGATTCCATTTCATGTTTTTCGTTAATTGTATGGTTTACTGTGTACCTTTTGGTAAATGTTTATAGTAGTTGTGCTATAAGATAGCAATTACATATTTATATACTACATTTTCTGTAATCTCATCAGTATCAGTTAGAGCATAAAAAGTGTTTCATCATTGTATGCTCGGTAACCCCCCCCNNNCCCCCCCCCCCCCCCAATCCCCTCAAGCATTTTTTTAATATGGTACAGCATGCCCAACCAAACCTGGTTGTGTTCAGTAGTAACCAAGTGAAAAAAAGTTAATGTCCAGCCCTCTTAAAGTTAAGACCAACTATTGGCATAGTTTTTCTGGTAAAATAGGGCCCAAATGTTCAACCAGTTGAAGCTGAGAGCACAGTAAAAGTCAACTGACCATAAACTGCCTTTCATGTCATATGCCAACATACAGTTTTATTACTGAATAAAAAATTGTAACAAATTAACTTTAAAATGTTACAGACATTAAAATAATTTTAGTACTAATGTTTCTGAAAAATTAATAACTAACACTTCAATGCCAATTTTCATTGTTAGTCATGCATTCTTGTTAACAAATAATTGGCACCATTTTAATGCTCTTATTTAAATTTAACACTCCTTTTAATATGACACTATAGAGGCACCTCAAATCTCAGAGCATCCAGAACTTATTTGTATCTTTGCAAAATACACATGACATTTGACAACCCTGGTAATTGAGGTGAAAATGGTACATACTCATTAAAATATATGTACTCTTTTTTTTCCCTAAAAGAAATATACTGCAATTATTTCTGCCCTCTATCTTCTACAAATTCCATTTTATTAAAGGTAAATTTCTCAGTATATGTCAGTAACAATTCATGTTTGATGAAATTACTTAGCGTGACTCATTTATCTTGACCCTTTCATCAATGTACTGACCTTTGATGACCTTTCATTTATAAATGTATTTTAATTAAAACTAGATATCACAGGCTATATGCAGAGGTCTAAAAATACATCTAGTTTCAAAGAGTGCCCTTTCTCTAAGTGTCACACACATTTTAACATTGTCAATACTGTTATGTTTAATGGTCTTAAAGTTTTTTAATGATTAAATATAATGGCAGTTATGTGTTGAATATGCCAAAGAGAAGCAGCAAACCTGATAAATTGTGGATAACAGCTGAACAATCCTGAATTGCCACAACGCTATTTGGAATTGCATTGTTATGGATTTTTTTATGATGAATGACTTCCATTATTTTCAACATGAACCTATACTTGATAATCACTTTAGAAACAGTTCTTCACTGTTTTCCAAACAGCTAACATAGGAAAACATTCTGTGCGTTTTAAGTTCTTCATTCACATTAGCCAGTCATTTTCACTAAATAGCATTAACAATTGTCTTGCTCTGCCTGTTTACCTGTAGCTGATGTCAAATTTCAGCCATGATCAGAATCCTGGAAAATTGATAAACTTCTAAGGTATTTTTGCACTGTCTCAAAAGTTGTAAAACTTATTCCCACTGCAATGGGTCCTTTTATCCAGTTCATGGAAAGTCCCTTGTAAAGGCCCCCTATCACTCCCTCTGCCTGGACCACTTTCCTCATTGTTCTAATAATACCTGTGTATTCACTACTTTTGCCAGTGACACCTAAAAATTAAACAAATACTGACAGTTTATACCTAAAAAAAAACATGAACTATTTAGCCAAAGCAAAGTAAATTACTTAAAGTTCTTATTTACTAGCAAATTAGCATCTGGATCATGCTCCACTGACATTTACTGATATAATAAATCTGTATTTCAAGAAGTGTTCCATGAGAAAAACTGCACTGATCACAAACTGTCGGGATTTTTCCCCCCAAGAATACTGCACAGATACTGGTGAGACACCACAAAGAAATTCCACAAAAATAAATATGTCATGATATCATATTTCCGGATATTTTTGTCCTGAGAGTTTCCTTGTGTCACCTCAAATTTTTAAATTGACTTTTTAGTCTAAACTTGATCATTTTGGGTAATTTCTTTTTTTATTTATTTCTTTTTTTTTTTTTTTGCCAAACTAAATGTTCCTTACCAGCAGTTTGCATCCTCCTTCGCACAATGTCCAGAGGGTAAGAGGCAGACTGGCCACACAGACCTGCCAGGGCACCAAAACACAGCCTCTGGTAGGCCGATGGATCTTTGCCACCAGAGTATTCTGTAAAACAAACCACTCAAAACATGACTTTCATATACGGGAGGGCTACTCGGGGGGGAATTTACAAGCAAATTGGCACTGTCACAAAAACCTTGGTATTCAATTCAGTGAAGATAATCTGATTATTAACTGTAAAACATATTATGATATTGCATAGTAGTTACGGAATCCAAAGGCAGCACCCTTAGCCTTCATGGTAAATAATGTAAAAATGTTTTTAAAAACCTTTGAAAACACATCAGCTTAAAGTCCAACTACAAAATGTTCATTAAAAAGAACTGATCTCAAAAATTACCAAACAGAGAACTAATTTCCCAAATTATGTTTGATTCAGTTGGTTTCCCAAAGTATGTCCCTTTCCCCACTGCGGGATGAACACATAAATGTAACCACATTCAACTTGTCCAACAATAATTGGTTGATACAAAACGGAGATGCCCCTAAACATTTATAATGACATTTCAGCAAGATGAAATGAACACTGAAATAAGGAGCAAGTAAAATGATATAAAGTGCAATAAGCAGAAACATTAAATCCCTGCACATCATTCATATTAAAGACCACATAGGCTTCATGCTGTAACACCTTGTAAACCTTTACTACCTAGGATTAACTGATAAGGTTAGTTCTTTATCAAACACAGAGACTAAATGGTTCCTATGTCAATTTTGTGTCAGGGTAAAACTAGAAGCACATTAAATAAGTATGCACCAAATAGTCTTATGTGTAAAGGAGGATAAATACATATGTTAGGGACAATAACATATATAATATGAGGTGCAACCAAAGACATTTCAAAGCCTGTGCATAATTCAGATTCAAAAGCACACTGATATTTAGTAAAACAAAAATTACAAAGAAACCTGTACTAACTATTTATAATCTAGTTAGTCGTTAGCAGGGAGTGAATTCAAATTCTCCACTGCAGTGGGGTTTCTTGAGCAGACATGAGATTTTTCCAAATTTACTAATGTTTCCACTTAACTTTTTGGGCAATTACGTTGCCAACTTGTTTCAAACTTTTCAGACAAAAATATCAATCTCATGCCTGTGTAAAGGACTACAATCACATGTTATTTGTACATCAAGCTCAAAGCCGCAGGCTGGTACTCTTACCAAAATAATTTTTCTTCATTGTTTCATATGTAAAGAAACTTGTTCCTGAGTAAGGAATTGAGCCTAGTACAGTAGGTGTAAACCCTCTGTAAAGAGTTCGGATTCCTTCTTCCTGGTAAATTTTCACGATCACCTCAAAAAGACTGTGATACCTGAAAGGAAGGGCTGTACTGATGAAAAGACTTTACCAAAATTAAAGCAAATCAGCTGCATTGCCTGGCACTGAAAAGTATGCAGGGGGTGCTTGGTTTCCTATTGAAACTCGAGTTCTGTTGCTGCAATTTTCAGAGTCAACTTTTTTATATGGTGGGACAAACGTGACAAACTAGCCAGCCTAAACTGGCAAATGTTCAGACAAGCTGCCACAGTTCATATATCAAGGGGAATCTTGTGTGCCGAATAACTGCACCTGGACAGGGGTGAAGATTGCACTTTGTTCAGATACTACTTTACCAGCACATTAAAAGAGAGAAGCTCAAACTGGGGTAAGTACGGGGGGAACAAAACTTTTTGCTGTTTGATTTGCACGTTTTTAAACAAACGGAACAGAACAGTTAGTTCATGAGTGAGGGGAGTGGAAGAGATGACAAGGACTTGAATCACACAGGCAAAAGCAACTGATTTGCGCAACACTGGAAAAGATCATCATTTCTTACCGTAGAGTAATTTCTTGCACGTTTCATAAGTAAAGAAGCTTGTGCCTAAGTAAGGAACTGCTCCCAGAAAGGAAGGTATGAAACCTCTGTATAATGTGAGGATACCTTCTTCTCGGTAAATTTTGAAGAAAACTTCCCACAGGCTTTTATACCTAGAGGTGATTTTCAAAAGAATATAAGAATGTGCTCGGGTAATACAATTAATGTGACATTTATACCCGAGAGTTTTAAAAACAAATAAATTATCATTTTTGATGAATCTTGTGACTTTTGGTTTGTAATTTAAAATTCTTTAAAAATTGTATGTGAATGTTATCTATTCGGCATCATTTTTAATCAGACATGTAAAACTGAGATATCAAGTGTATCTGCAAACCAAATCCACATCTTAGTAGAAAACCCAAACATATTTTCATACAAAATGTTACAGTTCCTTTATAGCAAAATAACTTCTAAAAGCCCATGACTTCCAAGTCATTTTATCAACAATGTACAAACACAGCATACATTTCCCCACATTTATCACTATCAGTTGCCCAAAAGTACTCTAGGATTTTTTCAGTCAAGGTCACAACTACAAATGTTAAGTTCTACCTGCATTTGAGCGTGACAGCCATTCGAGCCCTGACCATGTCTAAAGGGTACGTCGCAGCCACAGAAGTCATCCCTGCTAAAGAGCCTGCTACAAATCGCCTGCCAGGCGGAAGACTTCTAGGCATGCTTCTAAAAAAAAATTCAATTCATGTATTAAAGTTTCATTAATGTGGTCAACAAAACAAGTCCACTGCTTTTTTTAACATTATGCAATAATCTAAAATTTGTATTTCAAAGGTGTATAACAAAAAAGTAAACATTTTTCAACAAAGATACTGTAATTACTCATTAAAAACAATGAAAATAAAAAAATAAATTTCAGAAAAAAATGCTGTGTAAGCAACACTTAAGGTGTATTGATTTATAAGTGAAAATTGAGTTTATGTGAATCACATTTTTATGAATAACTAAAAATGATAAATCATGAAAAAGTAATATATCAGAATAAGTGAGGAGTTAATTAGTTTAAGTCTTAATTTCATACACTTCTAGCTTTTGAAGTGAAAATAACCACAAAGTTGAGGATAATTCTTTTCTGCCATATTGGATCATCATTACCTATTGTTTTCTGGGTTGAGCAATCGTTTCCACTGTTCATGGGCAGCATACTGTATTGCAGCATAGGGGATAATCCTGGCCATGGTTGCAGAATTACCCCGCCACAGCGTGAAGAACCCCTCATTCTTCACAGTATTCTTTATAAATAAGAAAGCTCCTTTGTAGGAATATGGAGTCTGTGAGACTGGAAGTAAAAATTTATACCGATGATTAAAATCTACACTGTTACACTACATTTCTGGCATCATTTTTGTCAGATTTTTTGTGTAGCTTGATTCATTTGGAGAACTTGATAATTATACAGACTTGAGAAACAGACAGACAGACAGACAGACAGACACAGAGAGAGAGAGAGAGAGAGAGAGAGAGAGAGAGAGAGAGAGAGAGAGAGAGAGAGAGAGATTATAGATTCTTTGAAGGCAAAACAATATCACAAAGCAACTAACTTTGAAAATTTATTTTTGTCCTGTCCAAAGGGGCTATGGTTGTCTTGGCAACAGCACCAGCAACAGCACCCGCAGTCAAGGAGGTGAAAATTTTATACTTATTTGACACCTGAAAAATTGTGCCATTAGAACAGATAAACAACTGAAGGTTATGAATAATGCATACCAAGTACAATAAAGACACTTTATGAACAAGTTTAAATTTTGTGCTTGCAACTCAACTGACTAATCATTAATGTTCTTCTGATCATTATATTGTTGATAACAGCAAATGGCTGTCAAGCCTGGCAAATATAGTGGTCAGAGTATCACATTTTCATACACTGGTAAAAGGAAATTTCTAACGATCTTTTATCTCACCAGTAGTCAATTTGTACCTAAAACACTTACTTTTTGGCTAATTTTGAATTCATCCTCATGATGCTCCTCATCATGCACTTTTCCATGACCCACATCATCTATGTGTGTGATGCCCCCCCTGGTCACTGCTGGAGTGACCAGTTTCAGATCAGTCTTACCCAGGCCAGGTGTGTTGTCCTTAACAGAAGCCATGGTGGCCTCACATATCACACCCCGTATTGAACACTGGAATTCATATCTGAAAGAAAGATGAATAAATCAATCATTGTTCTTGGACAAAGTGCTTTTTCGGTATAAATCAGGAAAAATGGACTTTTTCTGAAAATTT